TTATTTATCAAGCACAATCACCTGACGATAATGCATTGGTTTCTGCGTCACGTACATTTGGCTTTACATTTATTGTATGATTTTCAAAAAGAAAAACGAAACAACTGATTATCGATTGTTTTTTTTTTCTCTGTATTAGGGTCGTACTCAAAGTAGTATTACAGTTCGCTTTGGAAACAAAGAAGAAACATATGATTTATTGGACATACTTGATTTTGATAATGATCGCAAACGAATGTCGGTACGTATTTAAAAAAAAAAGTTTTTCTTTTGATAATTTACTTTGTGTGATTACTTTCTTGTTTTATAGGTTATTGTTAAAAAAAATGGCAAGATATTTTTATATTGTAAAGGAGCTGATTCTAAAATAAAAGAACGTTTAGACCCATCAGAAAAAAATATGATGGCTGTAACGGACGAACATTTATCTGTGAATAAATTATTGTTTTTCTTTTTGGATCTTATGATTATTTTTATCTTTTATAGAAACTTGCAATGGATGGCCTACGTACACTTTGTTTAGCATATAAAGAATTGAATGAAAGTGATTATAATCGATGGGCTCAAAAATTACATGCAGCAAAGTATGTCATTACTAGAGAAAACACTTGAACAGGGGAAAGGAAACGTAACAATCGTCAGAATTTCGATAACTTGATATATTATCGCAAAAGAGCTGAATCATATTCTCTGAATCGTATCAATTACTTCAGATAATTTACATCAGAGAAAATTAAATACTCACAATGGTGAAATCATTCATCTATTTCGACTTAATAATGGATATTTTTTATGTTCTCTTTAAAAGAGAGCAATACCTATGTATGATATTACTCACATTTCTGCCCACGTTCGATGCTCTATATGAATAATTTAAGACAAATATGCCATATGTAATGTTAATTGAGCAACATACTTTCTCCAAAAACTTCAGAAATTTTCATTAGATTTCAAGGTCTCATTCTCGTTCATTTCTCCATCGAAAAGAAGCATCCAAAACTAGTATGCATGGAATAGTGTAGAGAATAGATATTGATTTGAACGACAAAAAGACATTTCATGAATTCTCAGAGTACTGACTAAGTCTTGCTAGTTGAAACTCTTTTTGATACCGTTAAAATTTGTTGTAGACCATCAATAGACTAATTCATTCTTTGAAATAAATTCTAATAAGCTCTTTAACAAACGAATTTTTTCTCTTTAGTATAAGTATGGAAAACCGAGAAGAAAAAGTCAGGGATGTCCATGAAGAAATTGAAAAAAATCTCAAATTAATTGGTGCTACAGCTATCGAAGATAAACTACAAGATGGTGTACCTCAATGTATTGAACGTTTAACATGTGCTGGTATTAAAATTTGGGTTTTAACTGGCGATAAACTTGGTAAGTTGAATTTCTATTCAATGTATTTTTCTTTATTTTCTTTTGCTGCAATATTATTTGAGAAACTGCTCATAATATTGGCTTATCATGTCGTTTATTAACAAATGATATGGAACTCTATATTATTCAAGAGGAAAATGAAGATGATGTTGAAAAAAAATTACGAGAGGTTCGAAATGATATGATTAACAAAATTGAACAATTATTTGATGTTTATATTGAGGATAAAAATAAAAGACTTAATTGGAAAGATTGGGGAATTGATGTTATGAAATTTAATCGATATAGAAAACCTAATTATCTAAATGATAGTAAAATACAACATCCAAATGATCATACAGAAGCAACATTTGATACAAATCAACTAGATAGTGAACAATTTGAAGGATTCGGTTTGCTAATTACAGGTCATGCATTAGCATTTGCATTAAATGAAAAATTAAAAATGAAATTTCTTGAAATTGGTACAATGTGTAAAGCTGTTGTTTGTTGTCGTGCAACACCGTTACAAAAAGCTCAAGTTGTTGATTTGGTTATGAAAAATGAAAGAAAAATTACTTTAGCAATTGGTGATGGTGCTAATGACGTATCAATGATACAAAGTAAAATTATAGAAATATCTCGTTTTATATTGAAGAAAATAAAAATATATAATATAATTTTCAGAAGCACATATTGGTGTTGGTATTAGTGGACAAGAAGGTCGACAAGCGGTACTAGCAAGTGATTATAGTTTAGGACAATTTCGTTTTCTTGAAAGATTATTACTTGTTCATGGTCGTTGGTCATATTTACGAATTTCAAAATTTTTACGTTATTTTTTCTATAAAAATTTTGCATTTACATTGTGTCATTTTTGGCTTGGATTTTTTTCGGGTTTTTCAGCACAAGTAAGTTGGAAAAAAAAATATTAACAATGTACAATTATCTAATTTTCTTATTACTAGACATTATATGATCCATTCTTCATAGCAACATACAATGTTTTCTTTACTTCATTGCCTGTTCTAGTATTAGGTGTCTTTGATCAAGTAAGCTAAACATTAATTTCTTCTGGTTTTTAGTATATTTTCGAAACTAAATATTTTCGTTTTGATATTTCTATAGGATATTAGTGCTGATCATTCATTAAGTAAACCGCATTTGTAAGTTCATCTTTGTTTGTGACTTAAATATTCATTTTGCTTGTATTCAAGATATACACCTGGTCAAAATGATGAATTTTTTAATAAAAAAGTCTTTGCTGAAAGTGTGATACATGGTATATTAACATCATGTGTCATATTTTTTGTATCATATTTATCTATATCGAATGCTACACGGCCCGATGGAATGGCACTAGCTGATTTACAATCATTTGGTTTTACAGTTGCAACAATAATGGTTATTATTGTTAATTTAGAAAATGCACTTGAAACATGGTACTGGACTAGTTTATATCATTTCGTTTTATGGGGTACAATATTGACACATTTTCTATTCCATTTTGCATTATATTCGACAATAATTGGGAAAATTTTCAAAAGAAGTTATACATACGTTGGTGTAACACCAGCTGTTTTATCGACAAGTAATTTTTGGTTTACATTACTTCTTACATGTGTTATATTACTATTACCAGTATTTAGTCGAGAGTATGTCATTTTCTATTTGAGATACAAAAGATTTATTTAGTTATATATTTATATTTTTTAAAGATTTTTTCGCATGCGATTTATACCGACTAAAATTGATCGTGCCCGATTAAATCAGAAATTTCGCACGGAAGAAAAAGCAGCATTTGTTGCACATATACAATATAAACTTCGTCAAAGAAAAAGATCGTTTCGATCAGGTTATGCTTATTCGCAAGAAACAGGTTGGGGTCGACTAATTACTTCCGGGTTAATGCAATCAAAATTGAATCCATTTGCTCGATCATCATCACAAACCACAAATGTAAGTCTCAAAAACGAGTTTATAGTTGAAAAGATTCTCTGTTACGTGTGACAGACTCAAAGACTTAAAGAAAACTGCTGTGATAATGATCTTTGAAAGATTGAATTATTCCAAAAAAACAATTTTCTTGCTTCATGAGTTTCCTTCATCGAACTCTGTAAATTAGATTTGATTCAATGACCGAAGTTCATGAAAGCTACGAAGATGTCTTCGATCTAATGAAATCTTTCTTTAGAAGCTTTGAATAGTGCTCTGAACTTATATCAGTTGCTATGTGTGTAAAGAAACTCTCACGTTTGTCTGTTGACCATAATTATTAGACATATTGAGCGATTGTGTTCGGATTATTTAACTTTGTTTGAATATCTATAATCATTTTTTGCAGTGGCAGCATAAAACAAAGAAGTTTGTCACTACTCCTTTCATATTGATTAAAGTTAGTGTGCCGCGAATGGTAACAACATTAAGAGATGCGCGTTCTTCAATTACCATTTTCTCTTTCTGAATGTTCTCGTTTTCTTCACCGATCTGTTGACATTCTAGTATTAACAAATTTGAGCAAATAGATAAGAACCACCTGGCGTTGTGTAAAGTGTAATTTTGAAAGAAGCTAGTGTCTAAGAAATCATAGTCTCTCTCGAAAATGAAACAAATATGACCGGAACCGGAAATTGAGAAAAGTTGTTCCTTCAAAACAATAGTTAGAATACTTCTTTTCTAAATAAAGTAAATACATGAAATGTCGAATCGTGTGTTATGTATTTGTTGTCATCTATTGATTTTTACTATTTTGAAGCTGATGTGATTTTTGTGTTTTTGTTGTCATATCTAGACTGTAACTCAAAATCGATTTTAATATGGAATGAAGCATAAAAGAAGACTGCAACTATGGAAAAACTTTATCGTAAGCTTTTTATTTATATGCATTCATTTTTTGTATTTTATGTGGACAATATTTGTAACATATTTACGATAGAGTCACACTAACCTATTTATTTTCTATTTTTTTTTATTGTTTTGACAAGACGCAAGAGAATAAAAAATACAAAAATAGGATGCATTTTACATCATTTGAATGAAGTATTTTTCTCGCAGAGAAATGATGACTAAGATATAACAAAGAAGTTTGTGATAATGAAAAGGACAAAATTATTCATGTGTTCCAAAGTCATCGATTATTTTCATTCATGGGAATGCTACATTTCACATCAGAATCACAATTACCTAATATGATATTTATGTGATCTGATACATCGACCATCTATCTCTTTGTATAGATTCGTTTAAGTGGACAGTTAATCGTGTGATGGAGTAAGAGAATGAAATGGTACATTGACAATTGATTTGTTTTTCTTTGATCACATTATGGAGTGAGCAAAAGTAACATATATCAAATCTTATTGGAGTAATGGAAAATGGAAAGAACAAAATTGACAGAAGTCAATGTCAAAAGGATGCATGTGTTTTTAGTACATCGAAAAACTATTTTTTTTAGTATGGACTAGGGGTGTGGGTGTACATCATAGCTCCATCCATACCGTAAACGTGTCGCATTCCAACCGATGTCGTTATCGATTCCGATGCGAGCTGAGATATGAGACTTTATATCGACTTATTAAACTTTTATTTCCTAACTAATATATTTGACATAAATGTTTATTGTCACTTTTGTAAATTTTTCAATAGAAATAATCGATCACAACTGGTTTACCGAGTCGTTGTCCATGATCAATAGCTAAATTCACAAAGAGAATATCGTGAGATGAGGATATGGAGTTGTCTTCTGCTAACGCTTGATTGTCTCCACTTATGTACAGACTTGCACCATGATCGTCATGTATGTGACCAAAGAGATGAATGCGAGGTTTGACTCGTGTGACAATTTCATCTAGTAAACCTGGACAACCCATATGTTTTGCATTCAACGGATTGTAGTCTCGAATACTGTACGGTGGACTGTGTGTGAGTAATATGTCGATATTTTCTGGAATCTGCGTCCATTTATCCGCTCGGATCTTTTTGTGATGATAGCCGAACGCGTTAGATCTATATAAAATGCCGCGTTTTGGATGCCATGAACTACCGTAAAACCGTACGCCTTCAATGTCGATGACTTGATCTTGAATATAAGTCATATTACTAAGTATTTTTTGCGTAAGATCTGGTCGTTTAGGATTGAGAGATACACAATGGTTACCACTGATGAATAATTTGTGAGTATGTGGAAGGGTGCCAACAAATTTATTGAAATTGATTAAATCACGAGTGCATGTCATATAGTTGACGGCATCGCCACAATGAACAAATACATCACCATGTGGAATTATCAATTTGTCAATTTGATTGTGAGTATCAGATACACAGACAAAACGTAAACGTTGATGTGAATCGGTGCCCATTGAATGAGTATCACGATAGATGACAAATGGATTATCTTTTGTTCCCTCGCCGATATTTTCAGCCAACACTGAATCTACCGTTCTCTCTTCCCAATGTGGTACATGATTTAGATGATGAAGAACAGCATGTGGATGATTTCTGACACGTGGCACGCGTAACCTATAATACAGAAAATCATTTTGATGAGTAGACGATTTAGAAAGATTTTATGAAAAAAAAAGAGCTTACCCAGGTAGCCAATCATATGTCGACAGTTGGAACAAGAACATCTCTGGATTCTTTAAAAAGAGGAATGATACGACAAGCAGCGAAATTTATAGGAACCATATTTTGAAGAAAGACAAACAACTTTTTTGACTCATCCTATTACTCAACTTATCATATTACGAAAGAAATGAATGAGTTAGCAACCGCTGACGCATGCTTTTCTTTCTTTCTATCGTTTTAAACGACAGCACGATTCTCCTTAGAAGGACATCAGATAAAAGGGTGGGTGAGTATATAGATAAAGATAGTATATAGCGAGCATGACACGTTTCGTTCTTGCCAGTAGATCTATGCAAATGCTGTTTTTTCCAAGACAATTCCCTGTTCACTCACACGCTCAATCAAGACGAAATAAGACATTATCGTAGAAGAACTCTAAAGAATCTCTGACAAGGTAGAAATCGCCCGCACAAATGAATAATCAGTAAACGAGTTTTGAGTTTGCTCTTCAGTAATACCCACATTCTTTTAATTATTAACTTTCGTTTGTTAGGTGAAAACACGACCGTATATATTCCATGTACCAACAAAAATGTTATTTTAGATGCATTTTCCAGGTTTTATTTGACTTTTTTGTGATTATAAAGAGCACTTTTCTTAGTGGATGTGTGAAAGCTTCTGCTTGTGTTGAAACAATATTTGCTATTGAGAGTTGACAAAAGGAGGTTGCTATTGGTTTTCAATATACCTAAATATTTGTTGCATTCATATATTAGCACGAATATAATGATTTCATTCAACGTTTCTCGGTCGTTGGATTTCGAAGTCTATAAGAAATCGCTCTCTTACTGGTTTCTATTCGATGAAAATGATCGTACTTCATCTATTCAATCTATCATAGGCTTGTTATCAGTCAAAGACGAAAACACTCTCTTTTGTTGGAAGAAGATCTTTGCACAAATGTTTGCTAACCGACTATTAAGAGATTTCTCGAGACACAGCATTCACTTGTTCGAAAGATTTTGCTTTGAAATTGTTTACTTGCGTCGTGAACGAACCAATGATAAAACGAAAAAAAAAAAGAAAATTCTTTTTTTGTCAATGTAAATTATTGTATTGCGACACTGAGATTTTTTTTAGCGGATAATTTCGATTGAATCCATGTTTTTCTACACTATTCCAATTGATTTTGCTTGTCGACACTGTTCAATTGATAACAAATCCGATTTTTTTTTGATTACTGATAAGTGTCTTGCATCTATTGACACATGTGAAGAAAATCAAATTTTTTTACCATCATTATGTAAATATAAAATGACGATAACTTTCCAATAGGATCATATGTTAAAAAGCAACTTTAGTGTTTGCTCGACGGCAATAAATCATTTCTATGATATAAAACATATCGCTAAAAAAACTACTTTTCATCATACTTTTCTCATATCCTTTAGACGTGTTGTAGACAAATAATGAAATACATTGTTCCTTTTTTGTTGTTGCTATTCTCCATTCTGTTCCAAGTCTTACTCTTCCATTCAATGCCAGTATGTTACCTATGAATGGTTCGCTCACATCGGTCAATTCCTCATCAATTCAACTCGTCAGGAAGCCATCATCTTCACTTGAAGGCATCGATCTTACTCAACTGTCAGGCATATTTACTGTCAGCCTTTATGCTGGCACTAGAATGTCTATATTCAGTGTCATTGTAGTTTATGACTTAATTCAACTGACTCAATCAGGGTTGTTGAACTTTCGGATACTGTTTATCATGTGTGTTTTCAAAGCAAGTGGTACAAACAAAATATCACTATGATTGTCGAGGTACCTGGTAGAATCAAGCCAAGCGAATGCCAGTTATTGCAAACATATACTAATGGGGAGTGAAATTGAAAGCTTAAGAATCATTATAACTGTAGAGAAAGACAGAATAAGGTATTCTGTAAGCTAGGAAAATTCATGTCAAAACCATATGATCATAGTAGTTCATAATCACTCATCTAATTTTGGCGAATCAGAGCATCTCTTGAAGTCAGATTGCACATCTAATGAAGCTTGTTTGTTCAGAATTCTCAACTTACTGTTCACAGATAGTTGTAAGTTTGACGACATAGAACCTATTTTCTTCATTCCGAATATAGGCAATTAATCGATCACATCCATCAAACACTGTTATATTGACATAAGAAATAATTGCATTCGTAGTAATCTTCAATTTTCGTTGAATTATGAAATCGAATACTCATATGTAAAATTAATACCCGGCTACTATGTTGTTATAAAAATTGATTCCGGCATTTTTGATATCAGCAACATGCGCCAAAGAATGATTCTAGAAATCATCTTACTTCTATACGTAGCAATTCTTCCAGTGAAATCAATATCTATAAATCATGCTGAGCGGAACACAGTCACGCACAGCTATGAACAAAGCGAATATGCCAATAATGTCAACACAATGGTATATTCGATCTTGACTAATTCTTCTAAGCGGAAAGCAATGCTTCGTGCTCAACATCTTCAAGAATATCGCCAATCTTTCGCAACAAAAGATCAGGAAGACATAGAATTGGCTCATAAACATCAAATCACAGATAGCCAGCGCATTTATGTCGCTAGCAATGGTAAGAAACCACTAACAAGGCAAGTGCTTGGATTTGACCTTAAAAATGAGTTAAGCCTCGAAATATAAAAAAAGAAAATTCCAATTAAATGGCAAATGTCATCGGCAAAAGTTCAACAACTATTGAGAAGAGGCTATGAAAAGACGAATGGATTTCTAGAAAATTTTGATGAACAACTGTTGAGATCATTCCAAAATTTTCTACAAACACGATCTATATTTTTCACACCTCTCTCAAATTCTAGTTTACCAAGCTTATCGAAGATTTTCGTTGAAATTCAGATCTTTTTTTTTCAGAAGACTTTAAAAACTGATGGCTTAAAATAGGAGATTGTATTACATAGAACATATTCATGTGTCGAATAGTTTTGAACTTTTTCAACAAAAACGTTAGATTATCTTCCATTAAGCCTTAGAATTCTATCACTAAAAGCTTTACTGTACAAAAAATTTATTTGTAGGTTCAATCCATAGAAATGTGAAACATTCTGGTCTGATTTGCTCTGTCAAATATGAAGATAGCGATTATGTAATATATCCTGTGTCTTCGACTAATAACACAGCTATTGGTGATGTCATGCCATATTTTAATATTGAATCGCATGAAACGTACATTCTATATTTGAATGATATTTGGAATGATATCACCCATCAGCGACATCCATGGTATGGATTTAAAACTAACAATTTCTATTCGTATTCACTTGTTGCTTCGGATGAACTGCTCAGTTGTAATGATGAACCATGTTCACAGGATTTTGCGTTGGGCACGGGTAGTGTCATTAAACGTGAAAATATTTACTACGCATTTTATACAGGACATAATCCGAATTATCCATCGTGGTGCGTGAAAAGAAAAGAAGGTATCATGCTAGCTACTTCACCTAGTTTGACGGTTAAATTTACAAAAAATTCTACGTTTACTACTCTCTATGCACCACTTGGTCATGGTTTCGATGAATATGATAACTTTCGAGATCCATTCGTTTTCTACGACGACTTTTCAAAGCAGTATAATTTGATAGTTTCGGCTCGAACTTCAAGAGGTGTCATCGTTCAATATACTTCTTTCGACTTATTCAATTGGTCCTACAAAGGAGTGATATATGATGGCGGTTTGACCAACTTTTTCATGATGGAAACACCTGATTTATTCAAAATAGGCGACATCTACTATCTTCTATTTTCCGATATTGACTCGAAAAACGTATATTATCGTAAGAGTTTTTCGCTCTCGGGACCATGGACTAGTCCGATCGAAGATACGATTCGCTTCGATGGAAATGGCTTTTATGGTGCTAAAGTAATTGTAGACAATCATGGCGATCATTACATTTTCGGTTGGACCAATCGACTAAACGACAACAGTGATACTGGATCCTGGTTATGGGGTGGTAATCTTGTGGTACATAAGCTTTATCAAATAGATTCAACTAAAGATCTTGCTGTTACGATCCCGCATACACTCAAATCCTATCTAGAGAAATACAACGAACCTATTGTGAAACATAGCCACTGGGGTAATGTAACTATTTCAAGATCGGACACCTCTTCGTATCATCTCTCTAGCTCGTCCGACACTGATATTGCTAATGTTTTGTTCAATTCAATCAATTTGAATCGTTACAAGATCAGTGCTACAGTATCATATGATCGTTCTGCAAAAGATTTTGGATTTATGTTTGCAGTATGTGATGGTTATGAAAATTTTTATAGTTTACGCTTTGTGCCTTCGCAAAATCGGTTCAGTTTCGATAAAATTAAGCGATCATCATTAACCAATACCACAATGGCTTCATCCGACGTACCGTTCACATTTGTACCAAACACTGATATCAGCATTCATATCATTATAGAGAATTCCATGGTGGTGACTTATCTTAACCATCGAGTTGCATTGAGTGCCCGAATCTATCGAGCACATAAAAGTTCTTGGGGCATTTTTGTGGATAATACTAGTGCAACCTTCAAAAGTCTGACTGTGACTAAACCTTAATCTAATATAATCCGGTTGAAATATTCCTGCTGCTTATTCACTTACAGCAGTACGATGGAACACATGTTTTTTTTTTATTTTAACACAAGCAATAATATTGACCTCGGCAATGATTTTTCTCGCTCTACTTGAAAGTCATTATTAAATAACGAGTTTAGAAGAATATTATACTCAAATAAATTCATCTCGTTTAATACACTCATCTTTCTAGTTGCAGATACTCTAAAAAGTATTCGAACACTTTAGGTCACGTCCATCCTTCCACAAAACGGATTTTGGTTCAGATATATGCAAATTGCATGAAATTTTCAAGATATGTTGGAACTGTAATGGAAAGACAATGAATCAGTTAGTCACCCAAAATTCTCTGTGAGCCTTCGTTCTTTCTATCATGCTCTTCGTCCTGACATGATCTCTCAAACAAATAAAAATCAGTTATATAGAATGAAAGCTCAGAGAGAATGTTTGGTTACCGATTGTACCATTGTTGACTCTTGTTTTATTGAACATTTCATGCGATTAGCATGTATGTGAATCAAAATCAATTTGGAGAAGAATGGAAGTGATCTTCAGTATCGGGATACGTTTTCGCGTATCCCTAGTTGAATTACTACTATTATCAAACGATGATTCTGATAAGAGAGCACACTAGAAAACAGTGAATTGTACGATATGCGTAGGAATTTGAGACCTGTGAAGCAAGAAATAATCAGGACAATCTTTTTTCAAAGGTTTTTCTCTTCTCAAGTTTATTTGAATTCTCTGTTATTTACTATTTATATAACATCTTGTGATTCCACATCCATACCGATACTCACACTCACGTCGATGAGATCATTCCCGAAAAGACTTTTGAAGAGTTTGAATGTGGGTGACATCTACTTCACTCATATCAATAAAATCTGGTTTATCATAAGTTCTGATTGCATGTTGATTTCGATGGTGAAGAATAGCCTTCTCACAAAGACGTTGAATGTTCACTCTCTCGAGATAAAGTTCTGAATTAACCTGAAAATAATTTCAGATGATATTTGTTATATGCTAATTCATCAAACCAAGCATCTAAAAACGGAAACACATAAGCTTGAGTATATCAAAGGTCTTCTAGAGCAATTTTGATAGCTTTCGTATTTCATATGTTTTATCTTCTAGGTTCACCTAAGTTATAGCCCAGGATCATTGCATGACTTAAAAGCACAAGAAAAAATACGAAACAAAGTGAGTATTCTCTCTGGATACAATTCAATAGAAACAGTGCTATTTAATAATCCACAAGATCGATGTGGCATCGAACCGGAAAAGAAGTCAGATAGAATACTTATCAGCATACCATCCTAAAATTCCGCTATAAATTCAGCAGCTTTATAATAGTGAAACTCTTTTACATAATGAAAATCAATGTGCATACAAAAACAAAACAAGATAAGAATCAAGAAAAAGCTCAACACTGTTGGAAATCTCACTCCTGTATTATATATTTTACAAAAATGAATTCGATTATGCTTTTTCTTCTCGCATATTTTTTTTTCAGTACTTTCCTGTACTATTCATATGAAATAATCTTGAGGTATGGAGTGTGAGTGTGATGTGAATATTCTCTTCACCCACATCCACGAATATAAAATTAGTACAGTATCATTTTTTCCCATTCAAGAAAATAAATTTAAAATGGTCGAACAGTAAAATTCAGCAAGAAAAGGATTGATGAAAACAATAGTTGCCTACTACCATAGAGATAATATTATGATCCAATCATATTTCATTTCGTGGGAGTATTTATCGATGAATCGATTAGTGCGATGTTCGAAATTCAAAATCAATGTAAAATATTGCTTTTATCTCATATTTAACATGGAACTACGTCAGAAAAAGTCTACTTAAAATAATTGAATCTCTGAAGCTCTACAATTTGAAAAAGTTTTAATGTAAAACGAATCTAAGAATTTTAGGTCAGTGGATCATTTTCAAGATAAATTCAAATAATTCATTAATGCAATACAACAAACGGCGAAGAACGTTGTGGGTTTCATTAATAATGATGGACTTCTACTTTGATTGACAACGCGTACAAAAGCCGTAGACACGTCAGCTGATTTCGATGCGCATTGAAGAAACCAATAACCATACCATTGCATAAATCGAATCATGATAGGTATTCGTGGTTCAGGATTGTTAGTTGAAGTTGAATTACCATCACGTTGATAAGTTTTAACTTGACCATATTTGTCAGTTTCGATCACTTTCAATGTTGGCGTTTTCCAATCATTAGTCGTCGAAGAGAACCAACATTCTTCAGAAATGACTGAAGCACGACGATTGAAAATATGAGAAATGTCTTTTAACTTATGACAATTCTCACCAAATATTTTTTTTCAATTCTCTTGCTTGTCTACATGCATGTGTCATACCTTGCGCATATTGAGGGTTGAATGAACACATTGAATCACCTAATAATATATAATTTTGGGGCCATTTCTTTCCCAACGATTCGACATATTTTCGATCATCGATCGCGTGACGAGATGGAATTAATGGACTGCATACTTTTGCTGCTTTTAAAATTGTATAATATTTTGGATCTAGATTTTCTTTTGTCCATTCTAATAGGTTTTCGTATGAATCATTCGGTGGATATTCAGAATTTACACAATTAATGGCGATTGTTGACGATGTTCCTAATGAATTTTCATTATTTGTTTTTATGGTACGTATTGGAATTACAATAAATCCTACATTTTTCTCAGGAGAATCAACTGGATTACTAATAACAAGTGCTGAATCGAACGATGAATCACCAATTCGAAATCTTTCACCAATAAATGTAACATAACTACAACCGAAATGTATTTGTATAGTCGGTACAATTAAATTGAAATTCTCCTTTAGCCAGTTAGGTGATGATGTATAGCGACCAGTACAATCAATAATAAAATCACCATACATATCAAACGATGGTGAACCAATATTTTGCTTCGATCGATATTTTATACCTTTGACAACGTTTAATGATTTATCCACAGTTAATTCAGTTGCTCCTGTATTACATTTCTATTCAATTTGATTATCATATTCCAAGCACAATTCTTTTCTTAGAACTATTTCTAATGTAAAACGATCAATACTCAACCATTCAAAATCTTCGGTTAAATTTGTATTCAATAATACGCTACCGGCGCTAACTCTTGATTCGTTTTTTACTGAATAAGTACGAACACTATATTCATTAAATAATTTATCGTTTACAGTCCTGGGCAAAAGTTCCTCACACCCCTGAACTTTATCAATATTTCAAGCTTTTGGCTTGAGGCTTTGGCTGCTTGTGAGTACTGGCAAACGCTGATCATAGACACCAACCCGACATCAATTCAATGTAACAGAACAGAGTTATACACCAAACACTATCGCTATCTTGCATTGGTTATATATCAGTCACACAATCACTATGAAAGTCGGGGAACCTACCATTCAAAAGCTTGAGTCTTCAGCTTTCTCAAATAAAATCTTCATCAGAAAAATCTTTCGAGTTGCTGAGATATCAGCCTATTAATGGGTATCGACCGAATCACAATTATGATGATTTTCACTTCGTCATAGTGAAAAATCACCTTTACATTGACCGATTCATTTGAAAATTGTTTTTCATCATACCCATAGATTCAGAAATGTTTCCTAAAAGTTTCAGCATTATAGCTTGTACTAAACTCGAAATACAACGATATAATATTCTCGTCACTGCATGTCTCGCTAAACGTTTATATCTCAATGAATCCAGTTGTTCTTTCTACTTAGCATTGTACACATTAGGAGCTCTATGTATCACTAGAAAAATCTCCTATAAATCATTTAGATATAGAATAATATCATTTTTTTCTGCATCCGATAAATGGAACAGATAACAACATAAAAGAAAAGGAAAATATTTTCAGTTACGATTTTTCATCATCTTGATTAAATATGGCAGGTTTAGTTTCAGAATCAACGTTTGTGAGCATCACAAACGTTAATAATATCAATTCGACTTCTCTGAATCACTATAAGAGCGAATACTGAAAGATCTATCAATACTCTATATGTATATATCAGAACATTTCTTCTATTAACCGGATGACTCCGTATTATTTGAATATTACTGAAATTAGATATATACGAAGGACAATATTTACAAACAGAAAGTGTAAGATTTGATATAGAAAAAAAATGATATTATTCTATATCTAAATGATTTATAGGAGATTTTTCTAGTGACACATAGAGCTCCTAATGTGTACAATGCTAGGTAGAAAGAACAACTGGATTCATTGAGATATAAACGTTTAGCGAGACATGCAGTGACGAGAATATTATATCGTTGTATTTAGAGTTTAGTACAAGCTATAATGCTGAAACTTTTAGGAAACATTTCTGAATCTATGGGTATGATGAAAAAAGATTTTCAAGTGAATCGGTCAATGTAAAAGTGATTTTTCAATATGACGAAGTGAAAATCATCATAATTGTGATTCGGTCGATACCCATTAACAGGCTGATATCTCAGCAACTCGAAAGATTTTTCTGATGAAAATTTTATTTGAGAAAGCTGAAGACTCAAGCTTTTGAATGGTAGGTTTCCCGACTTTCAAAGTGATTGTGTGACTGATATATAACCAATGCAAGATAACGATAGTGTTTGGTGTATAACTCTGTTCTATTACATTGAATTGATGTCGGGTTGGTGTCTATGATCAGCGTTTGTGAGTACTTACATGCAGCCAAAGTCACAAGCCAAAAGCTTGAAATATTGATAAAGTTCAGGGGTATGAGGGCCTTTTGGCCAGAATTCTAACTAGATGAATATCCTCAAACTGATAAGATTTAAACAGAACATAATCTAAGAAAAGCTTATGTTCCGTTTTTATATCATTTTATGATTGAATATCAATACATGGTGATAAGATAATGGAAAATAAGGATTCTATTCTTCTATTTAAGTGCAAGTTCCTCCATGGTAAATGTTTAATATCAACCAAAATAGTAAACAGTGTAAATTTACATGCGAATAAGATTTGAATTAAAACTGAATATTTATATTTATAATTCTATAATGTTTACATAGCAAATCATTTTGTTTGTGTTGCGAGTTTAACTAACCCTCTCATAGTGTCATGTTGTGTACGATTAATAGAGTTGAATTTTCTCGGCATCATTGGCTGATACTTGGATGAAGTTGTCAAGTTTTGAAGTATATTGTGTTGCATATAGTGGCGTAACCAGATGGGGGCTAGAGGGGCTCAGTCCCCCCTAGACGACGTTGAGTCCCCTCTACAAATGGTTGACTTCTGTTAAAAAACACCATGAGCCCCCTCTAAAGACGGGAGTGGAAGAGTCTTCGTCCCCTCTATGAACTGGATCAGGAGAGCTGAGCCCCCTCTATCACGTTTTTCTGGTTATGCCCCTAGTTGCATATGCGTTCTATTACTTTCAAACTTGATCAATGCGTTTCCTGTCTTTTAGAATATAGTGTTCTTCAAAATTTTATCAGCATATTTGAAATAGAAAAACTTGATAAAAGATATTAAGTGTTCTTTTTTCTGTTGAGTCTCACTCACCCCCACACCCTATGTAAATGAAAGTTATGAAAATGTGATTGAAAATCATGGACTAATAAGCAATAATGAAGAATGTTTTCCAACCAAAATGATTAGCTCATTGTGAACTACAAATTAAGGAAATTTTCACATTGTTCAGGTAAACATTGCTCATGGAGCAAGCTGTCCGCTTCACTTTTAGTTTATAAAAATTCTAATCAAGACTACTATTAGAAAAATACGTCAGCACAATTTCGACACTTTCCTTGTGATTGTTCATTTTGGACAAACACTAGGTATAGGTAGTTTTGGAATCCATTGGTTGCCATATAACGGTGGTACATTGACAGGAAAATATGCAGCTTCTCGTGTGTAGAGCCCGATACACAATGGCGCCGTTAGAAGAAGGAAAAGATGTGTTACCAATGATCCAAAAGGCTGTGGTAATCGAATCTTCATGTACGCTTCTATGCAACACACAATGCCATTTACAAGAAAGAAGGTAAATGTAGATAAAGTTGACCAGGTATCGTTGAAGACAACAAGAACAATATGGACGTGAAGAAGACCGCTAACAATAAATGTTATTAAAGCCATGATCTCCCGTGAAGATATATATAAACTAAGAGGTTGATATACGGATTCCTTAAGCACTGTGCCAACGAGTCGATTATATCGTCGACCCCAAAAATCACGCAATGATCGAGAAAATAATGGAAAATTGGCGAACGATTGAAGCGTATATTTATCTTGAGTAATGAGTCGAATAAGAGCAATTTGCATTTCAGTCATATATGAAGTCGTCAAAAGTGCAAAATAAAACATACTAATTCTTGCATAGCTGTCATTCGGCTCACACCTAAGAAGCCATTCATACAGCCAATGATTTACTGTTATTTTAACACCAGCCGATATAACATCAGCAATAATAGGCCACTGGTTTTCTACCGATTTAGATGGTACAATTGGAAATATATTCCATAGAATTTTGAAGACAAACGAGTAAACTGTCAGAAATGTGTGTGGTGAAAGAACAGTTAAGTGTATCAAACGAATCGACATCATCCAATAGAGAGAGACTGTAAGGATAGAAAGATAATGAATCTTAGGAAGATCATGGCAGCCTATATGAGTAAGCAGTATGCAAGGTGCTACTGTCAAAATGGTTCGAATCAATGTATGATGAATAGTACGAATAAAATAAAAGCAGGTGAGGCTATGTACCAACCAACCGACCATGATGAACAGAAAGTGTACCATATTGTTACTGTCTGACTATCTTCTCAAATTCTAACGAATGAAATAAGTCACTCCTATTCACTTTGTAACTATTCGTTCTAAGGACGTCACACGTTAACCGTCTTATCATTCGTTTGCCTTCTTTTATTTGCATTTCTGTTTGTTCTGGCCATCTTGCCTAGTCAATCCTGTGTTGAGTTTTTTGTAGTAGAGTGTGTAGAACAGCAAAAAATTGATCGTGAGAAGGCGAAAAACACTTTGTGCATGTGACTGCATTTTAAGTCTTGAGAAATAAAGGTAAAGTAAAAAATATTTCTTGTGCGCTGTAATAGAAGACGAAGGAACGTGAGTATTTGAGTTTCGTTTTCTTTTCTTTTCTTTCGTATATACGTATATACGTGTATTAGATGTTATATATGCTGATCGATATGCACGAATATTTTTATATAAGGAATGAAAAACAAACATAACATGCATAATATGTATAAGATAAGCGAAAAAAAGCAGATACTAATAGAGATCAGAAGAAGATGAAAAAAGATAGAAGATAACGTAGAGCTATGATTATGTTAACTCGCGACATCACCGTAACATACTCTTTTATTGGACAACAAGATGTGTCTTATTAACATTTGTCTGAAAACATAACAAATTTAATGAAACATACAACTACAAGAATGAAAATGAAAGAAAAACAATAATAATAACCATCAAGTTCAATATCTGAAAATGAGTAGACACCAAAAAAATCAAATATGATGAGAAAATACAAATAGCAAGAAAAGAAAACAACTTTCACCAGGCCAGTGAAAAAGAGAAATACGATCACATTGCCATAGGATATGATGAAAAACGGTTTTTTTAACGGATATGGGTTCAAATATAACGCAACATTACAGAAAAAAGAGAATATAACGATTTGTCCTAGAGAATAGCGGTTTAACAACACATCAAATAGAATGATTTCAAATAAAACTAAGTAGTCTAGACAGATGCATGATCCTAATAGAAAAAAAAATTAATCCAAAGATATTTATCACTTTGGTCGTGTGATTCATTTTTTGTTAGATACTATTGATTTATTAAATCATTTTTGTTTGGTTTTCAGGTAAATATCGGAAATTAAAAAATACTGAATAAAATGTCCTCCATGTGCTTAGTTAAATTTGAATGATAATGGTAATCATATACATTACGATTATTTTCTTTAGATGAACTGAATTTATGTTGTTCATTTTTGAACTGATTATAATGTACGATTGTAAATAATTCTTTAGTCTTTACTTTGTATGCTTGTAATTCAGATGCATGTTTAATTCTAATAGATAAACGTGTTTCATAAGTTAATGAAGAAGTTAATATATTAATCGCTGAAAATATAATATCATATTGTCGAAGAATATTTTTCATATTACGAATCGTCAATCGTCGATCGATATTTCGACGAATAATTTCATGTCGATAATATCATTTTCTTTGTTCAAGTGTACAAGTTCGATTATGAATTTTCTTTCTTTCTTGATTAGTTAATCGTTCATCCTGTTTTGAATAACGTTGAAGATAAAAGAAAGTCGAAATAAAAATGTAGAAATTCAAAATGTCGAAAACAGAAGTATCGAAAATAAAAATATCGGAAGATTACAATGTCGACAAAAAAAATCTTCCATTATTTGAAGTTAGGGAAGTTGAATAACGTAACGATATTGTTTACAGCATTAAAAGGAAGACGACATCAACAGTAGATAAGTTTAATGAAGTTATTGTCTTTGTTTTCAAAGGATACCACAACAGACAATACAGTCGTATACATCGACATCATTCCAATATTTGAACTTTAATATAGTTTATGCAAAATGAAGAGAAAAGGGTACAATGTATCGCGATCCAGTTGTTTGCTGGTTTTGGAAAAACAAAAAAAATTCGAACAACAACTATTCAAAATCGTATCAATACATTTTATAATAAATTTTCTAATAGTCTTATCAATGCCGCTGATCGTCTTACTGGATTATCATGCGTAGTTGCGAAGAAAATAAAGTAAAATGTATTCGTAAAATATTATTTGATACATTAAGTGATCTCTGTTATTTCATTATTTCACAGCTTTTATTACTGTTAAACACTCAGGTGTGGATATGTTGATATTCTACACCCAGATTCACATCCACACCCACACCCTACTATTGACTATTCAGTGTAAATGACTTTTCTGTAACTAGAAAAGACGTTTAAATAAGCCAAAATCTAATATATTTCTAGCATTCGTAATCGAGAAGAAACATCATTTATGCAATTCGATACATGATATGGTTTCTTCTAGAAATTGATATGCTACGTAAAAATATAAAGAAACGAACCAAATCGATAAAATAGACCTTCACTTGAAAGACTTCATCGAAAACGATGCAAATTCTAGTCATAAACAATAACCGAATACTCCACTTTTCAGTTATAGTAATTAAATAATGCGGACCAAGTCCTTTAACAGATACGTTTTGAGAAGGAGAAGATCAAAGACAAAAGAATGTATGTGTTAGTGGTGCCCTCTTTCGTGCTACTCAGCAAATTTGTCCGTTCGTCAGTTATCTAACAACTGAAAGTATTGCGATGTGACAGTTATTTTTTTGCTTTATCAATAAATCACTCTCTCGTTTCGGTTATCATCATCATCGCTACGTATGGATGAAAAAACAGCTATTATAAAACAAATATTTTCCGATTATGACAATTCATTACAAATTCAAACTATATCTCGTCCATTGAATGGTTATTCAAATTCAGTTTATTTTATCACATTTAACAATAATTCTAATATGGAACTTGTTTTAAAATTTACTCAACCTGGTGACAATACTGAAGTGCTTTTCTATCAAACATTGAATCACTATGCCAGTGATTATTATCCTATACCACAAATTTTAAAATACGATCCCATCGTTCATAATTATTATATTTCTTCAAAATTACCTGGTTTTCCATTATCACAAGTATTAGATTCTATGACACATGGACAACAACTAGAAGTCTATCGAGAATTGGGTATACTTGTAGGACAGTTACATTCAAAGCACATTTATGAAAAATGTGGCTATTTACAAGGTCAACAATATTCTAGTTGGAAACATATGTTTAGTGATATAATTCAAAAACAAATTATACTATTCAAAGAAACAATATTTGAAGAGCTTGGTAATAGAATTTGCAAGTATTTGATTGACAATTTGCATTTAATTGATTATGATATAGTACCAAGATTATTACATATGGATTTACATTGCGGTAATATTTTAGTTTCTAATACAAAAATTACAGGTATTTTAGATGCTGAAGATGCCCTTATTGGTCATAATGAATATGAATTAATGAGAATTGAAAAAGCTCATTTTGAAGAGAATAATAATAATGATAATCGAGAACAATTTATGTCTAGTTATATGCACAATGTTAAATTAGATGATGGATATGAAGAACGACGACGAATGTATTCATTATCGAGAGAATTGGTTGCAATGAAATGTTTATTAGACTATGGTGATAAATATGCACAAAATGGATCAGTAGAACAGGACAAAAAATATATAGAAGATAAAATAGAGCGTATCATTAATATGAGTTGAAGAATATATACTGCAAATGAGGTGACATCGTTTCGATCACAATGTTCCAAAATATTCTTGAATTTACAGTAGAATTTTTTCCTTGTCGATATTTCCAACAATATCATCAAAGACACAGAAGAAGACGTCCTTGCTATACTTTCAATCTTGCACTAATTAGAGCTCTTAACATCATCTACTGAAATACAAACGTATCGAGGCACACACCAAAAAGCAGTATGCATGACTATTTGGATGATTGAACAGATAATTTGCACGTATTTTTGAAAGGGCAGATTGGGTATAAGATGGATGGGTTAATCTTCTCTGCAATCTCACCCACGCCAACACTCTTCTTGATCGCGCACAAATAGAATAGAAATGAAATTCATTTCCTCCTTTGAATAGCCATTTGTTCATTATTCATTGTGATTTATTTGATAGAAATGAAAAAAAAATAATCATCTTCATGAGTCTATTCGATAGAAAAACGTTGAACACGATTATTATGATAATCGACAACATAAAGATGGCCATATCGATCAAAGGACAAACTGCCGACACAGTTGAACTGATTTGCTCTTTCTCCACAACCATTTCCTCCCACAATAACAGTGCCATGTTTCGCTCCTCTAGGCCAACATATCACTCGATGATTCAACGAATCACCCACGTAGACGGTATCTAATGTATCGACGAATAATCCTTCAGGATGCCACAATTGTTTTAGAGCATTTCCTTTTCCTTGACCTCCAGCGACGACAATACCTTCCCTTGCACCTTTGTTCCATTTCATTACACGATGATTGTTTTGGTCTGACACGTATACAGCCTGTTGACGATCGACAAAGATGTAGGTCGGCCAATTGAGTTGATTAAGACCATCACCTTTGCCATGGCCACCAGCCACAACAGTTCCATGCTTTTCTCCTATTTTATATCGTCTTACTTCATCGTCTCGAGTGTCGGAGATGTAGAGATATCTCCGGTCATCCATGGCGATTCCATAACCATCAATTTTGTCAAGGAGGATATCTTCCTGAGTTATGCCACCTCGCCGAGACCATCGAACGACTCGTCGATTCTCACGATCACAGATGATGAGACTATTCGTCTCTTTGTCAATTAGCACATCGGTTGGACCATGCAATTGATCTAATCGATTTCCTGAACCACAGCCACCTGCAATCACTTGTCCATTTGCATTACCAATTCTCCATTGGATTATACGATGATTGCCACAGTCAGCGATAATTATTCTTTGATCATCATCAATGAAGAGACCGGAAGGGCAGTCGAGTTGATGGATGGCATTGCCATATCCGAAGCCTCCGGCAACAGTAACACCATTCTGTGTCCATCGGGCATTCACTGGTATATTGGAAATCACTATAATGAACGACAAAGAAAAGAAGTCGTCACCGATGTTGCCGAAGACGTTCTCTACTCTGATCGGCACGTCCACGGATGACACTTTTTTTATCCGAAAGAAAGTTGCTACAACTTGCGAGAATAGTTCTTCTCCGTAACATACTCTAACCAAACGAAGTTCTTCCCGCAGATACAAATTCAGGAATATATTTTGATTTACTTTGAACATAGAAGTTTGTAATGACTTTTACATCTATATCACTTTCGTATGTCAACCCTGATTGTTCCTAGAGAATTCCATGTATGCTTTGTGACAAGGCATGTTTGTAGTGAGTTGTTTCAATTCTTGCCAAGATCTTTTAGATTCTAAAAAGTTAAGTCTTCGTCAGAAATAAAAACTGTACCTTGAGAATACTATAAGGAGATATTTAAGGAAAAAATATTATTGAAATATTGAAAAATCAATGCTAATCCAATTGAAGCTCTCGATAGGAAAACATGGAGAATTAAAGATTTTATTTGTAATTGTGAATACAGAATCTTTAGAAGACTATGAGAGAGTTCTACTATGATAGGAATAGGTCCTTGTCAAGATCTAGGACGCATTCCTGTATAAAAATTGAAAGGTACAGTAGACGAGCATCTGACTGGGAGAATAATAAACTTATTTAGAGTCATCAACTGGAAAATCCTGAGAAGATTGCATCGCGATCTTGTTAGGCGGATCCCAAGAATAAGGATTTCGACTTCTTGAAAAATATATGTGAATCGTAATTAGTATGCATTTGTAGAACCTTAAGGAACGAATATGCATCTTTCAGAATATTTTATATATGCTTCGACGATATTATTTATCAATTGATTGTCTGGATTTAACTTATGTCAAGCTCTTCGAAACATGATCTTGATAGAATTCAGTACTACAACACGAATATCGAACAAGTAACTTATTCTATTTAGTACAATGACAAGTATCGAAGTTTTTTTGAAATTCAGTAAGAAATTTTTTGCTGAAGCTAGTATTTTTGAAATACTTAGAAGACCAATACTAATTCTATGAAAAGTCTGTGTTAGAAAAACATAAGGATTAAGTTGGCTAATAACGCATCACTGATTGAGAAGATTACAATCATACGATTTTGCTCGTTTGAATTTATCTTCTGATGATTAAAGTGAAACCGAAAAATTCAGTTAAAGCATGGTTTCTTTTCGTTCAAGAAAACACAGAGAGAAAATACGTTAAGAGTAAGTGTTTCATTGATAAGTACATTTATAAAAGTTCAAACACAGTTTTAATTATATATCATTTCTTTGAGAACCTCCACATTATCCAATCACATCCTTTACGCATCTATTTGCACATTCCTAACTGACTCATCATTAATACTGACCTTGTGTCTTGGTATTCATGTTTAGCGGAATTGTTGCAAATTTTTGTTCCATGACTCCAGCAATAGGTTTCGTCGCAACCTCTACTGCTACCGGTATTGTTTGAGGCTTCATTTGTGAGAATGTCTTACGTTTAACTGATGGACTTGACAGGGGAACTGGTTCAAGAAGATCGAATGGTGGCTTCAGTTCTGTGAGTTGTACTATGTGTAGTCCGTTGCCAGAATCGAGACAAGATGTGACTTGAAATTGTCTGGCGGGTAATAAAAGTATATCCTCTTCACTGGTCACAAATGAATGTTTTTTAATGTTCTTTGCTGCAGTACACTCTATTTGAAATAGAGTTCTATTTCCAGTTGTCCCAAAAGCTTGTTCCTTCTCCAACACTTCCACTGAAGAAGTGCATGATGAAAATCCCCACCAAATGAAAATCTTGCCTAGTGGATAGTCAGTCCACAAGCTTCCTCTGACTCCTCGAAAAACGGAACGATGCTCTGATGGAAGGCGAGCAAGCGCCGTCAATATGAGTCGAAGATAGAGAAACCATGGAATTAAGTTTTTTCTTTGTTCAGACCGTAAAGCTGTATTAAGCTTTGCGTACAAGGAATCTTCATGTGGCATCGATTCATACGTATAAAGCATAATTGAAGCCGATTCGTCAGTTGTTAAACCATCTTCTGGTTCTTGACAATTTTGTTTGACTATGAATACATTTCGTTCCACTTTAGGTACAATATCGATAAGAGGTTTCACAGCTTCCTCAAGCGTTACAAGTGGTACTCTCTCATAGCCCTCGATTGGTGCCAACATACGTGTTGATAATGTACCCACATCAGCAAAGCGAAAAACATAATTTTTTTTGGTAAAACTACTATAATCCATTTGAAAGTTCTAAATCAAGAACAATAAATTTATCCTCTCTTTCACATTTTCAAAATCACATGTAGGAAGATACTGCTCCACAATATGCTATTCAATACATGAAACTATCGATTTTTAAAAATAAAAAGAACAGGAAGATTAGTTTATATTAAGTATCAACGAATGGCCTAATACTTAAGATTGAGTTAGAAAGACTAGGAAGTAATGAATTAGATAACTCAGATGATTGAATAATGTCACAGGAGTATACAACGAGTCAAGCGAAACAAACTTCAGACATATGTGCTTATACATGACTCTTTTTATACACTTGGTATTATTCCGGCTAATTGTCGTGTCTAATGACAACTTTTTTTGAGATATTGAAAGATTTTCTGCGCTTTTTGTTGAAATGTGTACGAAACTTCACACTACTTGATAACAACTAATAATGACACAGCAGTTGCAGAATGTTCACTTATGTATTTTTTGCATTATTAGTCGTTAGTGAAATAAATAATGAACGATAATATAGAATTCTGTGAAATCTTACGAATTCTATTGAATTATATAACGACACAGGTCATCATAGTTTAGAAACACGGTGCAATATTTGATTCTTTTGGTTTTTCAGAATCTACTTAGAGTTTAAAAAGATGAATGGAATGTTAAGGAAATTCTTTTTTGTGATAGAGCATTTGAAAGATGAATATTGGACATATTAGTGTCAATATAGAATTTTGTTGAAATCAAAGTTAGTTTTCAAATTCTAGTGAGCATTTGATGGATAATCTTGAAAATTTCTAAACGTTATTTTGAATCACATATGGATTCTAGTTTGAAGGAAAAAAATTATGTTTCATAAAATAAAGCGTTTTGGGCTTTTGATTTTGAAGTTGTATAATAAATTGTCTCATGCTCGCGATTACAAAATCTGTTCTATTTTTTAAATTCTCAGAAGGATTTTGTTTTTTATTCGGGAAAATATGTATATGAAAGACTTTGCCTTCTATTAATAACTGTATAGTTTTATTATAATTCAGCAGAATTTATGTGTTTAGAGCGAAAAACTATTAGACACATATGACTGCCGAGAACATTATCTGCTACTAGAACATTGATAATTCTACCAAATTTCTGTAGCTTTTTGTTATTCTAAGCAGAATTTTGGTTTTAAAATAGAGAAAACATGTCTGGCAGAATCTGCTTATGTTACTAGCTAATCGAATTCTGTTTAAAAACGTGTGGCTTTTTAATCTGCATAAGTTTGTTTTTATCAGGAAGGAGTTTTGAAAGACTTTATCTTCTTGTTAGAGCTGTAGAATTGTATTCAAAATCTGGTGACTCTCTGAAACTCTCAGCGAACTTTTGTTCGCCCTCGAGCGTTGCATATGAGAAAACTTATCTTCAGATGCTGACATATAAATTTTTACAAAATTCTGCTGTATGTTTCAAATTGTTGGTAGATTTCTGTTTCAAGTATATCGGTTTTTGTCTGACAATAGGTGTGAATGAAAAAAAATGGTGTTGTACTATTCATTTTGTTTGATCTGCTATCTAATATGAACAAGTCTACAAAATTCTGAATTCTTTTTGGTAGACATACTGGAGGCTATCTCCAATAAGTTACTCACCCCTCACGAAATAAATAAAACCTAATGTATACAGAAAACTTTGTGTTGAGATGCTATTAAGTAAACTTGATATTATGTATGTGACACTGTTGGCTTGTTTTATCAAATGATTCTTTTTTTATCTTTACAGCAAGGCAATTCATTCTTTTTGTATTGTTTGTTATTTTGCATAGTTTTCTTTCTGTTCTTTTTTATTTTTTTTTCTTGTCAATAGTCTATCACCAACGAATTTACACAACATGCGCACGAAATGATATACTTGAGTGATTTGCACATAGTGAATCTTGCACATGAAATAAAAACAAAACTTATTTATACCTGATAAGATATTGAAAAACAAAATGTGCTAGAAAAAATAAAAAATTGTTTTTTTTATTTTAAAATTTGTAATATTTCACATTCATATATAATATATAAACAAAACGTCTTAAAATAAAAAATTTTGATAGTTATTCATAATTTAGTTTAATAACATGAAGAGATCAAAAAGATGGAACGTTTAATAACGACAATATTTAATTTACTATATGCGATAAATATACGTTTGCTTTTAAATTCACACTTCAATGTATTCGAGAAAATATTTTTGCAACGAGTGCGAGTATTACTGATGATTTAATAGAAATATTATAACACAAGAGTCTGAAAAAAGTTTTCAAAGTCTGTCAGCACAAGAATGAAACTTGCCTGAATAGCTGCTGATGTTTTTCGATAGTCCTTGTTAGACTATTGCAAATCATTTCTGAATCAGTCTAACTTGAGAAAATAGTCTACTAAAAACTAGCAATTTTTTCTGCCGTATCGGTCATGACAAACGCAAAGACGTTATACTGTTCTTCTCAGCTAATTATTGAAGCCATTTTATTGAAACAAAAATAATTCTGTAGATATTCTAAAGTATCGGCAGAATTAACAAATTAAAATACATTGTTCAGTAGAAATGGATACTTTTTATTATCTATAACACATTAAAAATAACTCTATTTTGAAGTATCTTTCCTCATAGATATCAGAACTGCTGAGAAACTCATTTGAACATGTTTGGCTTTACGGTACTCCTTGGTATTCAATCAATTCACCTACCCTTCTGACACTTCTGTTTAAAATTGCTTTCTTAGACGCCTACTCTAAACTCAATACCTTGACTACAGCGAGTTATCTGTACTACATTAATGAGAAATATTTTTTCATATTGAAATCAAGGATAATGAGTTCTCTGAAAGTTTTAGAAGGTTCTCGTCTTCGACGAATAATCTTTTATAGAAATACATACAGAAAAAGAAAATCCGTCATTCATTGACTTCTATAGGCATATTAACCGTCTATTCCACTATTATCAAAGAGGATTTCCTGGTAATATATCATCACAAACATGAACAGATTACTAATTCAAAATGATCAATTGGTAAATTACGGTTTACCTACCTATATAAATATTTATATCTTTTTAGTTACAGTACGTAGTTCTACTAAACATGTTCCTTTACAATTAATCACTTAGATTAATATAAGTCGTCCAAAAATGATCATGGAAAAGATTTCACATTAAAACCAGATTAAAAATCCTTGTCCTCCATAGTCTTTAGATTTAACTTCCATTATAAGATTGTTTGTAGAACTATGAGACATGGCTATGTTTTGTCAAATATAATATTACATCGATCAAATAATTCGAAATTGATCTAAACATAAAAACTATACCAAGTTAACAATAAAGTGTCGTAGTAAAAGTTATGATATTATTTACAATCATACAAAGACGAATCATTTTGATGAAGATTTTATACCATTTTATTTAGTTTATAATGCTTTTTCGAATGATGTATTTATAAATTGAAAATGAATATATAATTCATCGATTATTAATAATTGATTGTTCTAAATCATAATTAATATTTAATTATTAAAACTAGTAATTTTTAAAATGTATTTTTTTTTATTGAAATCCAGTTCGTTAAATTCTGTATTGAATGATATACAAAATAATTTTAAAAATATTTAATTAAAAATAAAATTTTTATGGAATATTAAAATATATTCTAAAATTTTGTCTGCTACAACAAAAATAGTTTGTATGAAAAAATTTTTACATAAATAAACTTATGAAAATATTTGTATTTCAAGCTCAAAGCTCGTTCTGAGAGCTAAGGACATCACTATTTGAACAGATTGAATAACTCATTTTGATTAAAATAAAATGGGGTCCGAAAGTTTCATTCTCCATTTGATATGGTTCACTTCATATATTTTACATTGATGAAAAACGTGGCGTAAATGATGCATTAAATACAGAAAGTAAAAAAAAATAAGAAACATGAATTGTCATTCTTTATATTTGGAGTGAGAAGATGCACATCGCATCAATTAACACACAAATAATATATTCTCTGATTATTTAATGGCATCTAATGCGTCGACGTATTCGTTATCGTTTAAATCCATTTCGTGGCATACGACTTTTACTTCTTTTAACATGTTGTTTATTTATTTTTGTTTACTATATATTAATAAAATTATTTAATTGGGAAACAAAACCATCACCATTATTAACTCGTCTTTATCCCGATATGCCAATGACAATAGATCTTCGTTCATATTCAGTTTGTCATCCAAACAAATTCTATTTAGATAATATAACTTCATATTATCATCAATATTCAAAACAACAAACATGTTTTCTTATTGAACATCTTGATGGTGGACCATGGTGGTCATATGTAACACATGAATTTGCTGAAATTCTAACAAATTTAAAAGGAATCGGTATTCAATCAAATATAAATTATCGATCATTTCCTCAACATATAAAATTAAATTACAAAACAAATTTGACAAAATATTTTTTAAATGCATGTAATTTTAATGAAAATCTTTATATGAAAAATAAAATTCCTATTATTATTCTTCTTTGGGATATAAATCAACTTCTATGGAATAAAATACATGATCAATGGATTTATTTATTAGAAAAACTTCACATACGTATATTAGTTTTTATTGATGATCTTCATTTTACAACAAAAGAAAGTTTTTTAAGTCGTCAATATTTATTTCAATATATAACATCAGAAATATTTTCAACATATTCATATATATTTCATAATTATTATTTTAATATATCATCATCAAAAATTACTTGGTTACCTCATGCAGCATCATCATTATCATATCATTCAATAAATCAAACAGCTGAAAATCTTCTTTTTATTTCAGGTGCACATATATATGAATGGTATCCATGTCGTTCACGTGCTTTTCTTCTTTGTCAATCTCGAAAAGATTTAGTAGGTTGTTTAAAACATCCTGGTTATGGTGAAACAATGAAGAATGATAGTACATTTTTTTATGGTGGAAAAAGATATTTTTCTTATATGAAAAAATATATATTTGGTTTAGGAACATGTCAATCTGTTCATTATGCAATTGCTAAATTATTTGAATTACCAGCTAATGGTCTTGTACTTGTAACAACAAATGATTTAATACCAATATTAGAACGACTTAATCTTTATCATAATGAACATTTTTTAACAATTCAATGTTCATCAATAAATCGATTAATACAAGAAATAAAACATTTACAAACTTTACCGAAAGATAAAATTAATAATATACGAATAAAAAGTCAAGAAATTATTTATGAACGTCATATGATTCAACATCGAGCTCAATTATTACATGTTCGTTTAGTAGCTCAAGCTTTAATTGCAATGTCTTCATCTGATAAAGAACGAATACAATGGGAACAATGGGGTCGTAATTGTGATAGGTATTAAAAAATTGATTATAATTGTAAAAACAATAGATAGATGTCAAATTAATTAAATGATTGTTTTTCATCATAATTCTTATCGTGATGCAACTTTTTTTTCTATTTATAAGTCTAAATCATAAAAAATACAAGTACATTTTAGTCAACATTCTGCTATGGCATAGAAGAAATATAACACAAAAACAAAACCAAAATTTTTCACGTGTAACATGATATCGTTACAATGCATTAGACAGAGATAATGACGCTACTTTGAATTTTTTCTAATTTCGAGTACAATGTTTCAAATGTATTCAAATAACCAGATATCCTAGAAGTTAAAACTGCTCACCAGAGCACTGGAAAAGAATTGTTTAATATCTTCATAAAAGTTTGCTTGACACCATCCATTCCCTTGAGGTGAGTATATCTCAATTCTGTAATCTGCGACTAAAAAATATAAGTCATCGAAAAAAAACTCATTTTATAGAACGTTAAATTCTGCATTTTCCGATCTAAAAAGAATCATTGACCATCTCCTTTTTCCTAATCCGAAACCTGGCCATTTCGAGACATTACACTGATTTATCATTATGAGAAAAAATGGCAAATGAGAGCAGAAAACAAAATCGAACGTTTGAATATCTTTACCAAAAAACAACTGTTATCTTCTAGATTAAGCCCTATTCCCTCTTCAAAAAAGAAAAACACTCAATATTTATCAGAAAAACCGATATTGAGGTAAATACATGAAAACATAACCCAAGATTTTGTAAGAAGTGGGAATCTTTTTTTTTTCGTTTGCACTTTTCAATTGCACATCTTAGAATTCTTGAAGGAGCTGCAATGCCTGTTTGTTGAATATCTGCCGAAAAAGTCATGATATAGGACTGCGAACTCTTATCAGAGCCTGTTCGTTATGTCCCCAACATACCTTGAAAATTTCATGTGATTTAAATGCACCTGGCTGAAGATTGTTGGTTTTTTTTAGAGCGTCTTAACACATTAGTGCGCTTGTAAAACTACGCCATCTATGCTACTTGAAGGGGCACATAATAGATCCTACACTATTTAGTAACTAATCATATCATTTTTCTATGCAAGATACACATTAAATAATAATAATAATAGATGTCCATTTCTCTCTAATACCAATGTAAAAAGAAACAATTATACAAACAGTTAGATTGAAACCATATATTTTTAATCGATTGTTAATTGATTAGAAATCAATTAGAATCAAAACTATTCTGACAAATCAAAATTTCATCGATTATTCCAATTAATTTCCATTACAATCAATTATAATCAAACAAAACTTATTCAAGATCCTATCATTAATTTTTATATGAAAACCATGTTACTTTAAATAATTTTGTAATAGAAATTAATTAAAATAATCTTTAATTAATTTTTCATCGAATGCTTTTGTATGGATTATAAGAGGTTTGTTTTTAAATCTCAGTACAGAATACTGTAAAGTACAAATGTTAGCATTTCAAATATGTCAAGTAGAATTATATTTAAAAAATTGAACAACAACTAAATATACTTTTTAAAATTTGTCTTTTATTTTTGTAGATTTAATTATGTCTTCACCTTCAGCATCAGCAACAAAAACAAGAAGTGAAAATAATCAACAGACTTTACCATCATTAGAAAATACGGATAATAAACTTCAATCTAGTACTGGTGCAAATATTGTACTGATCGGACCACCAGGCAGTGGTAAATTTAAATATTCTATTCTAATTTAACAGAATAATTCTTTTTTTTTTTTTAATTTTCAAGGTAAAGGAACGCAAAGTACTCGATTAACGGAACGTTATAAAATATGTCAATTATCAACTGGAGATTTACTTCGTCAAGCAGCTCATGATCAATCATCATCTGAAGGTCAAAGAATTCGAAAAACAATGGAAGCTGGTGGTCTTGTTGATGATGATATTGTTTTATCATTAATTGATAAAAATTTAAATAAACCTGAGTGTAAAAATGGATTTTTATTTGATGGATTTCCTCGTACAATAAATCAAGGTGAAAAACTCGAAGAATTACTTGAATCAAAACAAAAACGACTTGATGCTGTGATAGAATATGCTGTATGTATTTCAATATAATTTTTATTCTTGAATATGTTATCCTTTTCTACTTCATAATAGAATTTTCCATATGAAACATAAACGAGGATGTTTTTATTTTGACCGATAAATACTTATGAAAATTCTCTCAGATCTCCAAAAACTAGTCTTGCAGATTGAAAGTTTAAAAAATAAACAAGTTTCTACTTTTGCTTGTCAATAATCGTGACAGAAATTGGTCGAAGAGTTTTTCCTCCAAAGTCTTTCACTGCTGTTTTATTTTGAATTGTATTCAACTATATAATTGTATAGCAGAGGTCGAATACTATATAAATACACTTGTTTAATACGATGAAACCTTAAAACTGAAATATAATAAAAATAAATGAATTAAGTTATCTATAAATCATTGAAAAAAATGAATTGTAATTCCTTCAAAGTCTTATGAAATTAAGATTTATACGGCATATCATTCGACACATCTTTACTTGCTTTACAACATGATACAATTGATTTTTCAAGTTTGAATAAAATAATCTAATCCAACAGGATTTTTTGCAACAATAATATCATTTCGTCTTTTTCTTTTTTTCATAGTATTGAAGTTTGTTTTTTCTTTTTATTATATTTCATTTTCAAGGCTTTATCGAATTAAACAGGTGTGTTTATTTAAGTACTCGACCTCTACTATGCAAATATATAGTCGAATAAAGGATTCAAAACAAAAAGTGGCGCATCACTTTTGAGGTTTAAATATAATATCGTATGGTATCTTATCTCTTGACATATACTTTCAGAATGTTTATTTAAACAACTTTAATGACATCTGTCGGTTAAATGCAATCTATATTTACATGATTGAGCATCTTGTAATTACATACGATCGGAAACAGTCATTTTTGAACTCAGTCTTAGTAAAATTTGAACCATTTTTCCTATATCTACTCTGAACATTAGTGAACTTTGTTGTTATGTAATATATTCATACACTTGAATCGAGTATTATTCTTTTCAATATGTCTGAGTCAATAATAGCAGAGTACAGTACTACTTCATTAATCGATTATATTTGTTCACTGTTGATAAGATAATAGATTTGTCTGAATTTTACTTTACAGTACTTGCAAAAAAAACAAACAAACTTTATTGTTGAAATTTAGATTCCAGATGATTTATTAAAAAGACGTATTCTTGGTCGACTTATTCATAAGCCATCTGGTCGAACATATCATGAAGAATTTCATCCACCTAAAGAATCGATGAAGGATGATTTAACAGGTGAACCACTTGAACGTCGTTCCGATGATACAAGTGAAACACTTAATGCTCGATTAAATACTTATCATAAACAGACAATACCATTGGTAAAAGATTTTTAGAGAAAAAAGAAAAATTTCTTTTATTATTATTATTATTATTAAGATTGATTTTTATCGTCAACGAAATATTCATCGTACAATAGATGCAACTAAAAAAGTTCATGATGTTTATAAACAATCGCTTGAAATTGTTGAAGATTTACGTCAACAACCAACTTATAAACCTATATCAATTGATGAAAATCAAGATATAGTTCGTCAAATTGAAACAACTGTAGACAAAAATGAAATTGATAATACATTAATGATAAAAACAAAACCAATTAATAATCAAATTAATGTTGATACAAGTACAATAAGTAAAAATTTTCTATTTGTTTACAATTCAGTGACAAGTGTATTACGTGATCATGGTATTATTTAAGAAAATGATTCCAATTCCAGAAAAAGAAAAAAAATTATTTCCTATAGACTAGCTCCTCTTCTTTCTTTTCATTTTTTTTTGCCTTCTAGTTCTTTTTTTTTTTTCTTCGTCTGGGAAGTATTTGATCGACTTTTTTTTTTTGGATAATGTTATACTGTTCTATCAACAAAAGAAAATATAAACCTACAAGGTTGATTTGTTTCGTTGGTTTATGGATGAATTAATGGCAAAATTAGAACATTTTACTATTTTGTTGTTCTTTGTTTTCTTTTTTCTAAAGTTTACAAGAAAGAATTAAACATATAGAATGTGAAATCAAAAAATCGAATGAAATTTTTTTTTATTGTACATCTTATCTGATTATGTTCATCAAAAGAGAGAACAAATTTTTGTCAATTAAAATATTGAAAGTTACATAAAAAGCTTTGACGGTACAGTCTTTTTAAGGTACACGACAATTGGTTTTATTGATACAGAAGTATTGCGTTTCATTAAACTATATTCGCGACTTGTGGTTAAGATATGAGCTAGACATCGGAATTGATTTCAATGATTTTTTTTGCCTATGGATATTGAATAGTGTTCTAATAAAAATCTTAAAAAGATTTCAATTCCCATCGATACTTGACTCAACTATCAAGGTTTTTATAAAGAGTCTAAGTTTTTGAAAAACTCGTATTCTTAAATTTTAGGGACAAGTTACACTAAACTTTTTGTCGGATATATTTTGATTTTAAATTTAATAAGCAAAACATCAGAAGATTTCGAATATGTCGTTATTTTTGTGCCAAACTGTTTCTGCGGTAAATGAACGCGGAAAAATTAAAAAATCAAGATTTTTCAAAAAAAATCTGTAACTGAGTGTTAGTTGAGAAAGCATGCATATCTTTTTCAACAGAGTTGTTCATATAGAATGATGGAATGTAAGTTTTATTTTAGGAATCCATCTAATTTATCATTAAGTCTTTGTACTTTGTTTGGAAAAAGATATTTTTCTTGAAGATGACAGAAAATCGAAATATTTTTTTGATCTCAGATTTTTTTCAATGTTGTAAAGAGTTAAAATACTTCTTGTAAACGAAAAATTCGATCATTGGGCAAAGTATATTCAGCATCATACAAATGACGAAAAATATCACCTTCACTTTTTCACTAAACTTTTACGTTGTTGTTCTCTGTATAGATACATTCTTTGAAGGCTTCATCTCTGGAAGAGACTTCACTCAAAACTTGTGAATTTTTCATGGAGACTAGTGTAGCTGAATTTGCTATATGTGCACTAAGTTTCAGGTCAAAAATACAAGTTTTTTTTCAAAAACTTAGGAGGTGCGGAAAAAAAATCCTATATCTTGATCCAATTTCAATAGGAACTCAAATTAGTTTCGAGTTTTTATCAAAACACTGTGTGGTATCTATAGACAACGAATCATGAAAATCGCAAGGAAACATATGAGGAAATTTTTTCTTTAACTATTCATGTAATCTTCAATGGGTTGTTTGTGGCTACTACATTTCGTTTCACAGAAAAATAGTTGGACTAAGAATCATCTTAGTCCAACTTATTTTAAAACTATTAAAGTCATTACATAAATTTTACGATTATACTTAATCGCATGAAAAGACTGAAACAATTTCAAGAATGATTAGAACATACTTTCTAGACTCGCGTGAAAAGCTGTTTAACTATAAATAAAATCATGCTATAGACAAACTAAAAAAATTTGTATTGTATCGCTTGCTTAGCAATATCTTGACTACGCCCCTGATACGTATTCTTCTCTTTCGGTCTAGATGTCATTGTTGAGTAAGTATGTTCAATAAAATCCTATTTAAATTGTTAAATTCTATTAAAATAATTCGTTTTCAAACCATTTAAAATAATCATTATATGACATCTATCGCTTACTTATGTAATTAGAACATTATTTTAAGCCAATATTTGAAACACCTGTGTTGTTCTTCTTTCTTCACTTCACTTCACTACACATTTATTTCATTTTGTCACCATGCATCATTAACCATCTGTTCATTTCTTGCTATCTTGTTCCTTTTTTTTTTTCTTTTATAGAACTTAAATATGTTTGCTAAAACTCTTCTTCTCTTATTGCTTTTTCCCTATCTAATTTCTACGAAACCAATTGAATTAACAGATAAGACATGGAAAAATATGTTAAATGGTGAATGGATGGTAGAATTGTAATGTTTATCTTTTCATTTTTATTGATTTTTCATTTTGAAAATGATCGTATATTTTTCCTTTAGCTATGCAACATGGTGTGGAGCTTGTAAGCATTTTAAACCAATATGGGATGAATTTTCTAATGCAATGTCACCAAAAAAACTTAAAGTAGCTGCTGTTGACATTGATCAATATCCTTCACTTTCGGGTCGTTTTCGTGTTTCAACGTTACCTACGATTTATCAGTAAGTATATTTAAAAAAAAACGAAGGTTTACTTAGATTTCTTTCATCGACATTGGTTGCTATGCAATCAATCTTTTATATATTTTTCTATTCATGAAGTTTTGTAAGACATTTATTAAGATATAAAGTCATTGAATATGTACTAACGAGTTTCTGAAGAAGTGCGAACTAAATAATTGTTTTATGATTTTGATCAAGGCATAATCTTCATCTATCGAAGAAGAAAATTTATCATATGTTCATAAAATATCTCTATGAAAAGTCATGGAATACTATTGTCTATTTTCCAATGTTTTTATTTTACATAATGATAACAGGTTGAATGATTTAATTATAAACCGTTTTTTTTTTAAAATATCCACGTTTGATTTAGTTGGTGTAGATTAATCGAACTAGTTGATGTATATTCATCACTATTTAAGATCGTAGAGAGGAAGGTCGACAATAGAATTGAAATATTTTCAAAAGAATTGAAAATAAGAAGAATTTTAAAAGCTAATTTTTCTTTTAATCTAGTGTACGTGATGGTGCTTTTCGTCTATACGATGGTGAACGTTCATTGCATGCTTTAGACAATTATATTGCAAATAAAGAATGGCGAAAAACAGAACCAATTCCATCACATTCTGCTCCAGATAGTATTTTGTATGTAGATTATTTAACTATATATTCTATGTAGTTATTTTCTTTTCTTCTTTAAAAGAATGTCATTGAACAGCATAGCTTTTGATTTATCGAATGTACTTAAGGTTTGTTAAATAACAGAAAAAGAAAGAACATACTGAAAATTGAACTATTTCATCAATATTTAGAATACTTATACATTAATGCATGAACAATATGGATGGCCAACATGGGTTATCTATGCTATTCTTGGTATTGGGATTGTGGCCTTAGGAGCTTTCATTGGATTTGTATGTACAGTTTGTTATTTTAATTTTATTTAATATCTCTTTGTTGTTCTTTTTTATGTATAGCTTTCAGTTGTGTTTGTTGATTGCTGTATGGCTATTTTTTCTAAAATTTTTAGAAGTGCTGCTAAAAAAGATAAAAAAGAATTGGTAAGAAAAAAAAACAATAAAAAAAAAAAGATTTTTTTAGATTTCGTTGTAAACGTTAGGTTGAAATTGATGCAGAAAAATTATTAAAATCAAAAGAACAAAAAAATACAACGGCTATTTCATCAACAGCACAAGAAACAAAAGTTGAAAATCAAGAAAAGAGCGCGTCTGAACTGGATGAAAGTGATGGTTCAGGTAATGATTCAAATACTTCTGATGTCGTTCAAGAGAAAGATGAACAGGTAGAACAAACAACAACTGATCAGACACTTCGTCAACGTCGATTAGAAAAATAATTTTGTGATAATAGAACTTATGTGAAACTATTCGTTTTTTCTTTTTTGTCTTTTTCGATACATAATCTCGTTTATTTATATACAAAGTAGATTACAAACAATTTATTAAACTATTTTATTTAAAAAATAATTATTCTTCTTTTAAGCCTTTATGATATTTGCTTTAATTGTCTATCAATTATGTTGTTTTCTTTTGTTTCGCTACTATAGGACAAAACTTATGAAATAAATTATTTTAATTTATTGAACTTATAATTAGGCATTTCATTTTGTCGAGATGCAGAGAACGATTGACGATTTTGTGTATGTAAATGAATTATGAATGAAAGTATTAAGCTTTTGCTTGATAGAAGAATTTGTAAAAGATTTCGCTGTTCTTTCTGGTGATTCCAAAAATGAAAGCTGTTATCAGAATATCTATGAACTTCAAATGTGAAAAATAATAAAGTTATCATTCGTACCTTCAAGGAGAGAGTTAGGAGATTAATTCGGTAGATTCTAATCTCAGTCTTTGGAAAAAATACTCAATGTTATCATCAAATGATCTCTAAATTTCATAGGATTTCATTGACTTTCTGACGCTTGATATTGTGATAGAGATTATTAACGATGATCACTAGTTCTTCAACATGTCATGTTCGATACGAATCAATATGTGGTGTCAATGTTGAAAACCATCAATTTTATTTACTAATTTATATATTTAACTTGAAAATGCTGTATAAGTAGTCATGTGAAAATATGATTAATCGTTTGATTACAGAGTTTTTCCAAAGATGACAAAAAGATGTCACTTTGCTCATAGAAATTTGAAACGAGTATATACGTTAAAGAAACACAATAAATTACATTAAGCTTCGAACAATACTATGTAATTCAGTACTTGCAATGTCGAATAGAGCTGCTCAAAGCCTTGTGAAATCCTTTGAGTAGTTCTGTTAATTATCCTACGGATCCATTATAATAACATAGGTCTGATGGAATTGAAAGTTTAGTTTTCTGTAATATTAGAACTTGGGCAGTAATCGACAATTTTTGAGATGACAATGAGCTTAGGATTCAATGAAGTTTTACGGATTTCTGTTTGGTTTCACAGGACTTGAAATGTCTAAATCTACAATTTCTTCATTCTCATTTTATACAAAGGTATCATATAAAAGTTATAAACTTCATAAAACCTCAATCGGCATGTAAAGAGGGTCTGATAACTAAAGGATTAATAAAAAGTGAATTATTTTTTGATTTGTGCACGCAACTAGGTCTGAACAATGTGCATATGAAGAAAGAAGCGTAAAAGTGTTTACATTAAAAATTTGCAAAAATTCTTTAAACAACTAAATCAAACATGAGTGTACAGGGAATACAACAAAATGTCTCATCTCTGCAGATTTTTGTGTTTCAATTATCAGACTTTGAATGAATTTTCTTGGCTTCTATTAGATCATCTTCAATGTTATTTTTCGAGTTCAATCTTTAGATAAATAAAGTTCATGACGCAACTAATCCATTGTGAAAATTTCAAATTTTATAAACGTAAACTTTCTATTTATATTTAAATTTCAATATTTGATTAGGAACTATATAAGTATACCCACGATAATATTTTTTGTCTGTTTACAGCATAATTATTATTTTTTTTTTTTGAAGGAGAAATTTGAAAAGAATTCTCATCGTTATTTTATCAATGCTTTATTTTAAGAATATGTAAATAAACTCTTCAACAAAATGTCAAAATTCAATGTTTATGTTTTGTTTTCTCTCTCTCTATCTTATAATAATAAAATCAAAACACAAACAGTTTTCTATTGTCAAACAAAAATCGTATGTAACATCATCTTCAACGTCTATATTTCAAAACAAAGTCAGTTTTGCTGATTAGTATGAAAAGAAGAATCAATAATCATCATTGAAATATCAAATGACTACTAAAAAATGTAACAAAGTTAAAATTTTAAACAACAAAACAGGATTGTACATCAATAACACTCTAATAATATTTTGAAATAGTTCCACTTCGGTTCATTCTAATATTATAGTTGCACTTAGCCTTACTTAAGTAAGAAAAATATATGTAACATTCCTAGATAATTTTCAGTAGTCATCTAAGAGACTCAAAATAAACTTTATGAATTTTTTTTACATTCAATCAATATTCCGGATTAGTTAATTCAAAATTCAACGATTTCCAACATTTTGAATCTTCAAGTGTGAAGCATTAATCTTCCAAAGGAAGTAGCGGATATAGTACTTAACGTGTTTCAATTGTGTGTGTTTTTCATTACCGGACAAGAATATCAACGATTAAATAAACTTCGTAGCCCTAAAAAATATGTTCTATATGCATCATTGACATATAATTTATTAATGTTCTTCTTTTTATTCTCTTTGACAATAACTGAATATTATCCTAGAGCGTTACATATGTACTTTTCTCACTTGAGTACAGGTAAAATTTCTTCATTGAGATCAACAATAATAGTAGAATTTTTTTTTATATTATTCTTATGAAGAATAAAAAAAAAAGCTTTGAATAAACCAAAACTGAGATATTTCACATTTTTGTGCATGTTATATTTAGTTTACGAAATCAAATTCAAGGATTTTTTTCTTTTTGTTTTGAATAATTCAAAACAACTATTCATTTATAATTAAAAATTTATCAAAACTTTTTTTTTTTTAATATATATTTGATTATTGATCTAGAAAAAATACATAATGTATTGTCCGTAAAGTATTCTTTTTGATGTGCAAACATTTTTTAGATTTCATTTCGTTTGTTATTTATTTTGGATTCTGATCTTATTTCAAAATATCGATAGAATACATTATAAATGAAAGCCAAACAAAAGAAATAATCACATTTTATTGTTATTTGATACTTCTTTTCTTTTTTTTTGTTTTTCAAAAGATAGTAAATAAAAATTTTGTATTGATTAGAAAGAAATCAAAAAATTTTCGTACTTTTTAAAAAAAAAAGAATAATAATTCAAGAATATTTTTATATTTATTTTTTCATATATGAAAAAAAAAAAAGAACAAGAAAGAAAAATAGTTACACAGAATCAGTAATAAATCCTTTTCTAGTTTCTCTTATAACTATTTCATATATAAATACAATCCAATCAAACAATCAATTCATGTGACGACGACAATTTTTATAACCCGGTTTTTTTTCTTTCTACCTTATATTTGAGTAACTATGTTAGGATATGACGTGTAACAATAAGTTTTCTTTTTTTTTTTTCTTTTTTACTTTATTATGTGTTTGCTCTTTTCGTAACAAATTAGAAACATAGCTGTCTTTCATTATTTTTTTCTTTTTGTTTCATGTTTGTATTATATTGTCACAATCAATAATACACTTTATTTCATCTCTTATAAGATGACAGCTACAACAACTACTACAATAGTTAATTTACCAAAAAATAAAACAGGACTTTTTGCTGGTGATACTATACAAGAAGTTAAATCATTAAAAAGTCAACCAATTATAATGTCACGTCAATCTCGTCATACAAATTCAACTAATCAATTATCAATACCATCTGAACAAAAAAAACTTTCAAAAATTCAACAATATTATCGTATTGATAGAATAAATGCATTAAAAAATGATACAACAAATAATTTGTTATTAAGTAAAAATATTCTAAGAACTGGTTTTCGTCCATCACCAATACGTCATCAAAAATTACATGAAACAAATTCATCTTCATCAAAACAACCATTTATTCCATCACATACTTCAACAAAATTAAAATCCGAAATTGATCATCTTAATAATAAATTAAAACTTCATGGAGATTTAAATAAACTTTTACGAACTCAACAAAATCGAGTATGATAATTTTTTACTTTAATTTATTATCTCATATTACATTTGTAAACAAAGAAAGAAATATGATATAGAATTAATCGAGCAGAATAATATGTGTAGGACAGAAATAGAATCGATTTGGTTTTCGAAAAAAATAAACCATAAACTAATCCCATTTCTCACAAGTTGAAATGTGTAGAATAAGTTTTTTTTTCTCCGTAACCTATAACCCTTGACGGAGAAAAATTTTTTAAATTCTTATTTTACTCTAGTAGAAAGATTCTAAAACTGATAATCAGAATACAAATGTGCATAATTAGCTTTTCCGTATATTGGCTGAGAAAAGTTTTTGATCACTCTTATCGTATGCTATTCGCCGAGGTAAATATAGAAGTGTACAAAATATATCGTTTTTATGAAGTAGAGTATTGTCGATCGGAATCATTTTCAAGAATGTGAGAAGAGAAATAAAAGCAAATATTAAAAATCTTATAATGTGTTTGATACAATTATAACGATAAAATCTAATATATATATATTCGAATTATTTTACGAACTTGATACTATTTCAGCAAAAAGAATTTTTGTTTATGACCTTGATTATGCTAATCAGTTGATGAGTATCAAATATAGTTATTGATGCACTGATGAAATATAAGCCTAGTATTGATATATTATCATGTTTGTTAATATTCTGTATAAAAACAAAACATAGTTCTATCATTTATATTAATCATTAGACTATCAAAATAAACTTCTTTCAAGAAAATAATAATTATAGTCTAATGAAATATTTATTCTTCATCCATTAGTAACTAGACAAAACAATAAATTAGTAAAGTTTATATTATGCTATCAATTTTCTTTATGAGAAATATTTAAGAATAAAAATAAAAAAAAAAAAAATTTTAGGATACAATTGCTACTCCACGTAGTGCTTTATCATATTCAACATCATATCGTATTTCATCTGCAAGTACAAATTATATAGTTGATATTGGTCATCAACGTTATCCATCAGCTATAACAAATAATACTATAAATACAATTATATCAAATTCAGGAACGATTGATATATTGAGTAAATCAACACAAAGTTTATCTGGTATAACGGAATCATCACCAACAATCAATGAAGAAGATAATAATACTAATAATCATCAAATAACTCATGCTTATCAAATTCCACAACAATCAAATGTTGGAAATGAAAGTATTTTTCCTTTAAATTCATTACCACCACCATCATCATCATCATTATCAAATAGAAAATATTCTAAAAGAAAAGATCATCGTTCGAAAGGAACTAAATCAGCTTCATGTCCATTTTATGTTATGTATTTTACTAATTTAGCTACACAACAACAACAACAACCGAGTACTAATAATGAAAATGATAAAATATCATTATCAATATCAGCAACACCAATACGTAAAGGAACAATAAATTCTCGTACAAGTACATCTTATTCACGTCGTCAATCAATAAGAAGACATGTTAATAGTCCAATAAGTTTGAATACATATTCAACTATTGATGATGATGATGTTGATAATCAAACAACAAATACAACATCATATTATAATAATAAACGTTTTTCAGCTCGAATAGCTGCATTTGAAAATGAAAATTCTCATTTATTAAAAGATATTCTACGAACTACATCATGGAATCATGTACAAGTGTAAACATATTTGCTGATGTTATTTTTTTTTTTATTATTCCTAAAAATTTTTTTTTTTTTTCTATAACAAATAGAAAATATTAAAATGATTTAGGATTTATAAAAAAATCAAAAAGTTACTTTCTTATTTTCATATTGTGATATGTCACTTGCAATTGATTTTGATAAAAATGCTTGACATTTGTCATTAAGTTTTGTTTGTTGTTGTTGTTTATTAAGTGTATCTCGTGATGGTCGCATCATATTTGACATATCAGATGCACTCGGACGAGATGACATATCAAAGTGGTCTCTATCAAGTCTTCTACTTGAATACTGTTTTAAATTTGTTCTACGTTGATATGAACATGTTAATAATGCAGGTAATATATATATCATTGATATACATGTACTAATAACTGATCGACGAAATTTTCCACTAGCTAATAAATATATAAAAAAATTTGCTGCATGTTGTAAATCACTTAATTGATACATAAGTACAGTTAAAATAATTAAACGACGATGACGTAACCATTGATAATAATCATTAGTTGTTGGTCTTTTATTAAAACCATATGTAATATCAAGTACAAAATAGATACTATTAGGTAATGTAAAAAGAAGAAAAACACCAGCAACAGCAAGTAACATAAATGTTATATGACGATGTCGTAAACGAATAATATTTACTTTTTGATGACTACGCATTATTAAATCTTGATTATTTATTTTATTTGAATTCAAACGATTTCCATTTTCAACTTAAAAGAAAATTTAGAGTATTTCTATGTCTAGTTTAATTTAGAAATGCTAAATAGACAATCTATTTACATAATCTTATTCATATGTAATGAGACAGTATAGTATCGATTATAATAGTTAATATGAGCTGAATTATAAATTTATGCATATAAAATTTTTCATGTCTACAGAGAATTTGAATAATAAAATTGGTAAATCTTTCTTTCTTTCTTTCTTTTTTTTGATTTTTATCTATCTATTAAATATATATTTATTTATTTTACCTTCTCGAGATTTAATATTTTTATGCATAATTTTTTCAAGATTTTGATTTGAATTATTTCCTTTTTGACGTAATTTAAAAATAATTAATATACTTAATGTTGATATAAGAATAAATGGTAAAAAACACCAAATAAATAAATCTATATAACGCCATATATGTTGTATATAACTATAACGTAACATATCATAAAAACAAACACGTTTTGTAATATCTTTTGGATGTGGAAATGTTGTTATTGTCCAAAAATGATGAAATGATACAATACTTGTTAGTATAACAAGAAATATACAAACATATTTAGCTCGACGTATTGTACAAACATATGCAACTTTAAGTGGAAACCATACAGCAACAAATTTATCAGCCGTCATTATAACAAGTATCCAAACAGTTGTATAACCAACAACATAAATAAGAAAATAAAGTAATCGACATGATATTGTATGAGCTGAAAGAAATGTTGGATAATAAACAAGATTTTTTGTTAATAATACAAGTGGATCAAGAATACTAAGTAAAAGCATAAAATATGCTGTTGCTGTTCCACGCATATGACGACTTCTTAATGCAAAAAATGATAAACAATTACTTATAAGTGATATAGGTAAAATAATTAATGGTAAATATATACGTAAATATTCAGATATTCGCCATTCAGTCCAACATTCAGATAAATATTGATAAGATGTTTCATTAAATGTTAGATTAATATTATGACAAAAATCAGGTACACTAACCATCTAGAATATATAATAATAATTATTATTCTATAATGTAAGAAATAAATAATCTTAGAAAAGGATAAACTTTTACTCATGAAAAAACTAAGTGATCTTTAAAAAGAAAAAAGTATTCAATATAAATTTGAATTTATTTTTATGTTTGATGGTTCTTCTTATGAATATCAAAAATACAAGACAAATGTTGTTTTTTCGAATATATATATATATATATATTTCAACTTAAATTATCTCTATCACATATCTATACTAATTCAATTGATTCTAGATTTTGATTGTATTTTTTTTTAGACAGATTCTTATGATTGATTTAATAAAGCTATTGATGAGACAACTTACTTAACATTCTTCTATACTTCAATACAAAAGTGACAGCCTTTGTTTTTTTTTTAATATTATTTTTCTAATAATGAATATTATTGTTAATCCTTTTCATTTATCTAGTAACTTTTGTTTTCTAATCTATTGATGAATAATATTTAAATCTCCAGGAAAATGAAATTACGATAAATGTTTATTTAACAAAGCTAAATATTTATCATCTTTAAATCTCGATATATTAAAAATTCTCTAAAGAAATTTTCTCAGTACACGTACTTACAAAATATACAAATGTCTTTATCTGAACTAGTTTAATAAGCTTGTATATTCTATCTATTAACAATAATGACTAAAATAACCATATCTTCATAGTATAGAAGAGTTAAGAAAGACTAATAACGCACAAAAAAGAAAACATAGAGACTATTGAGACAAAGATGAAGTGTTGAGGAGGCGAAGAAAGAAAAAGACAAGTTCTAGAAAAAAAAAAAAAAGGAAATCACTAATGACAATGTTCAATTTAGTAAAAATCCAATTAATAATGAATTAAATATTTTATTCTGGTTCATATGTAGTTATTACAAATAATTATATTGACAAAAAATTAAGATCTTCTCTAGATTTTTTTTACCTTAGAAAGATGTGCGTGAAATACTAAGCAAAGTGCGCGAAAAGTCGCTATGTGTTTAATGATACAAGAATACAACTATTTAACGAGCTTTGCGTTCTCTTTTTTCTTTTTATACTTATAAACATGACTTATTTCGTCTAATGAGAGAAGAAAATGTCAATCTCGCTATGATAAAATGCGGAAAAGGAAACATTAGTTGGTTTGCCCTAGAATTTCCTTTATATCGCCTTCATTATTCGAACTTTTTCATTATAATAATGATGAGTAGATTCAAAACAATGACAGATTGATATTGATTTATGAAAACTTGTTAGATTTTGCATTAAAAAAAACATAATAGTCTATATAATTATTAAATACTTTCAGAGATTTTCATTCAAAAAATTGTCGAAAAAGAAAATGAAATTTTGTTTTTCACTCTCTTACATTTTTTTGCATATCGTTTTGATTGATATTTCGATAAATACAGAGGCGTAACCAAAGAGAAGGGCAATTATCTATTTGCTTTGGAGGTTTGCCCATTGAAATTTTATCTTTCATCGGCGGTCCGAGTGGAAGTACATTTCAACTTTTAAAAAATTAAGGATAACTTCGTCTCATCACTGAAAAATTTCTATCGAATATATCTCCGTTTTCGAAAAAATACCTCAAGTTTTTTTCCAATTTTGGAGAAGTATAGTAGACAATTTTCTGTGAATTTTTCGAACGACAGTGATTATCAATAAGTTGTTGGCCGAAAAAAAATTTTAGCCTATCAATAAAAACTTCGCGCATGGTACCCATCAGTTTTGTTTTTCGACATAAAAGAAATTTGCTTATTGATCTAAAAATCCTGATTACAGTGCTATATAAATAAACTGCAAATTAATTTTTTTTTGTCAGAACAAAGAAAAAACTTATATTGATATAAGAGATAAATATTTTCCGTGTCAATAAATCCACTTCAAAAGAAAAAAAAATTCCTAATTTTTCTATGAATATAATAAAATAATTTTATTTTTTTTGACTTATTAATCCTTGAATAATGTTAATAGATTCTATCAATCCTTTTTCTTGTTAAATATCAATAATATAGGTCAATATAAATAAAAAGCAATCTTCCAATTTATTAAAAATAAAATATATTTTTTTCATGTTTTCTATCGACAAGTAAACGAAGGTCACATAGATGAACAGCTAAATTACCATCAGAGAAGTAAACAATTGTTTTCAACACGGATGACTTTGTTAAGTATAGTTATCTCTGAACGACCTAATCTACACTTTCCTTTTTCTTTTATATATATATATATTTCATGCCCGATTTGAATACGATTAATTATCTATTATGCAACTTTATCAAGCTGATTAAAAAAAAAAAAAAACAAACATGCACAAAACTATTTAATACATATGTATATAACATTATTTGTAGAAGAAAATCTGCTATACCGAAGAGAGAAAAAAAAGAAAAGAATACATCCTAAATTTTGATATAATAATGATATGAACCAACAACAACAAAAAAAAAAAAATAGTTCAGACAACATCTGACAAAACAATTATATGTTTTTTGTTTTATTCTTCATATAAATATAATTTAATTATCTACTTGTACAAATTTTTTCATAAGGTGGTGGACGTTCCGTAAGATAATCATCTATAGGTTGTGGTGGTGCACTTGGTTGAGGTAACATTGGATGATTTTCAGATGTCCATGTTTGTAATGATGATGATCCTACTGCTTGTTGATAATTATATGGTGATGGATAATTTGATGAACCTGTATGAATAACAATTGGTTGTGGTGTAGTAATAAAACCTAAATTAATAATAAATTAAATATAATATTAAATTAGTTTTTTGTCAAATTTACCTTGATTTCTCATTCGTTTATTATTACCACTACCACCACAACAACATTTAATACAAATACATATTGTTGTAACAATACAGCAAACAATACATAAAGATACAATAACGAATACTGTTATAGCAACCTAAATATATATAATATTTAATTCTTTTAAGATTAATATTAAATATAGATTTATTACGGTAGTAAATTTCAATCAAAAAAAAAAAAAAAATTATTTAACACTTTTCCATTTAGTTAACATTGACATAATACAAAAATATATTATGATAATGAAAGTTTTTCGAAGATACATCAATTCAAATATTTATTAGGAAATTTTGTCTGTATGTATTCAATCTAAATATTTACTCAATTATTATAATTCATATGAATACATTTATTTAGGTACAATATATGAATTTTCTAATAAAGATATATCTGCATTATAATAGGTATTTAATGCAAACGTATTCAATTGTATATTGACACAAACATATATTGATTATACTATTACAATGAATATCTCCGATAAGTAAAGTCTCTCGAGTATAGATCCTATCGAACTGCACTTTGATACTTTCAATGAAATCATCTAATAATTGTCTTGAGGGTACAAGAAAATTTTTTTTCCTGATTCTTCGTATTTGATGATTAGTTCACTCTATAGATTTCTCAACTGACTCGAATATATCGGATTCAATATTTTTTAATCTAAGTCCAAAATCAACTTGACGGACTCTCATTTCTGTACTTTGGACTTGAACATTGTTTTTATAACTCCGATTGTTATTTTAACTTAACATAAGTACTTTTTTTTTTTCTTCTTTCTCTTATCTTTATTATTTCTGAGTAATGCACTAAAGCTGCTTTTCATTAATTATTATAATTACACATCTTAAAGAAATAAATAATATGTTAATGCCATCTAATATCAAAAGCAAAACAAAAAAAGTCAATTTAAATTAACTAAACAAATTATATGTAAATATTAATTAATCTAAAATCAATGTATTAAAAAACAAAAATATTTAATATAATATGAATTATACAACAATATTCATCAAAACAAATTTTTCAATTCATAAATATTCAAATGAATAAAAAATATAGACAATGGTTTTTGATTACTTCAAAACAAGTACAAAAAGATCATATTCTAATTCTAATTAGAATATGTCTAGAAATAATTTTAGTCTTGATCATGACTATAGGAGACAAAAACAAAAAACAAGTTGTCATAATGACGTCTACAAGAAAAATTTGTTTTCATCGGAATTAATATCTATAATTATCTTATAAATCATATCAATGAGAACATAACTCAAGAGAATGAAATGTTAGTTATTGGTTGAATAAATCAAAAAATAATGAATTGAAAAACTTGTTCTCGAACATATTTCTAATTCTGATCTCGTATCATTAAAGACTAATTTCATTTGATCAAATATTCGCCTTATAAAAAAGAAAATAAAGAGTTAATCGCCAATATATTACCTTTTTAGCCATGCCCCAAATTTCTTCAGTACTAAAACAAAAAAAAAGAAGAATACAATATTAAAACGAAATATAAAAAAAAGAATTTTGATAGAGAATTATATCATTATTGATTAATTAGTTAAGAAAAGAATTTTTTTTGACACTTTTTCTATATTAATTGTGCGTACTACACTTAAATATGATAAAGAATTAGAATTGTAAAAAAAGAAAAAACGCAACGAAAATTAATTTTTACGATTTTATTTTTTTTTTAATAAAATACCTGTCAAAATTTTCCATTGCTTTTGCTATATTAATAATAAAATCTGAAGTTTGTATTGTTCTATAATAATAAATGTATATATATATATATATCATAGCTATCTCACAGAAAACCTTATGAAATAGATTTTAAAAAAAAGGAATTCTCTAATCTCTATTCAATTTAACTTACTCAACTGATTCACGACGATGTCGATCATTTACTATTGATTTTTCATTCTGACGAGTTACTCTATAAATCAAATATCATAAATTAAATTTTTATCTTTATTTTTTTTTTCTTGTTGTAACATTATTTTATAATACCGAATTAAAATTTTTTGAGTTGTTCCTTTCCAAGATTGATTAAGTGAATCATTAGTAAAAATATCATATGATCCATGTTCAATGATAGCCTTATCTTAAAAAAACAAAAAACAGAAAATGAAAATCATGAAAATTTTCTATTCATACGTATAGATGAATATTTAATTTTGTTAATATCAGCATTTATAATAATAAATAGAAAATTAATTAATAAAATTAACCAATGTATTAACATTTTAAATTTTTAATTAATATTAAATAACTTTTAGATTAATCGAAGAGTAAAGCAAGAAGGTCACCAACAAAGAATACTATACCATTATTTTTTATATCATATTGCTGTTGAACAACCAATAGGTCAGATAAAATAGAAAGATGTCAGTAGTTATAGAAATTCTACGCATCAAATGTTAGAAACAGAATCTATTGAGCTAAATATTTTTTGTTTATATATCTTTATGAATCAAAGAACAACAATAACTATGCTTGAAACTAATAAATTAGAAAAATAGTGAGAGAATTCTTGACATTGAATCTACTTTTAGGTATTGCAGAAAAAAAATCATAGGAAATATAATATTTGTAAATTTGTTAGTTTAAAATACGTTTTATACTTATGATTACTGAAAAGAATAAATAATAAAAGTTACAGAAAATGAAACTTTTAGTGTATATTAAGCTAGTTGTATTTTCATTTTTTTCTAATATACGAGATATTTTTCATCCTCATATAACCAAGTATCAAACAACCTCACCAAAGATAATTCAAACTTCTGTTGGTCTTAAAGCTAATAAAATTCTGTTGACAGTTGATCATATCAGATAATCTTTTTTTTTTGGGAATGTTTTTGTAATCAAATCAATAGTTTCATTGTTAAAGACCTTATGTCTACTATGGACACTATAGAGAAAAACCTAATAGCAGTTGTCAAACATCTAAGTTCATTCCATTTCTGAACCTTAACCTTTTTTCTAGATTATTCTCTTTTTTCTTATTAATATTGTACAGTTGATTTCCCTTGTCGGTTATCATAGCCTTGAGAATATTTCTCATTGTTGATTTTAGTGATTTATCTGTTGTAATAAAAGGAAATCAACTACTCTAGGCATTATTAACATCTGTTCTGTTACATTAATGTAAAAATTACATTTTACATGCATATGAAACTTGAGAGTTTTTTTTTCCCAAATTTTTAACGTTAAACTTTTCTTTTCTTACTTTTCAATTCAATTGAATAGCTAATAAATTTCATTTATTCACTGTTTAAATGCTAACAAATTTTTACTCTTATCTATATATTGTCAACAAACGAGCTAGTTGTTATGCAATTTATTTAGAGATTTCATCATTCCTCAATCATCATCATCGATAGTTATTTGTCGTCACTGACTTTTTTCTTACGATATAAAACAGATCTTGATAATACACTGAAATATAGATATGAAAGATTCTTTTAGAATTCCATGGAATGTTAAGACTATTATATTTATCAATTTAAAAGAATTTATTTAGTTAATAAACAAAAAAAAAAAAACATAATAGAAATTATTTTACTCTTTTTCTCGTATAGTAGTAAATTGTTCTTTTTGTTCATTATTTATAAAAGATAATTTTTGTTGTACAAAATTGATAGCTTTATAAAAAGGATTAGAAAATGAAGTTGGATGTTGTTCAATTTTTGTTAATAATCCATTAGTTATTGTTAATGATGAATGTGATGTTGCTACAGTTTGATGTTCTTTAATCAAAGATTTTGATCGTTTTTTAATTATTCCTTCATGAAACATTCCTTGAGCCATTTTTAATATTTACGTGTGACTTTCAGTTGTCTAGTCAATAAAAAATCTCAGAATTCTTGTCTTTTATATATCTTATCAGTATATATTAAAATAATAATAAAAAACAAAGATATGATGTTTATGATATAAAAATTTATGCTTTTCAAATAGAGGAAGTAGGATAAGTAAAAGAAAAACAAGTTTGTTTTTTTCTTTTTTTTTTATTCAATTGTAAATTGATTCTTTTTAAAGAAAATATTACTGATGATTCTTTTTTTTTTGTTTATTATTCAATACAGCTTAGAATTAGTTAGCTATTTTATGAATATCAATGTTTAGAGTTTTATTTGCTGAAATCGTGCTAAAAGTCAATTCTACTTAAACAAGTTGAAACATGTTTTGATTAATTGACAAGATTTTGTATGTTGATTTTGCGTATTGATGTCTATTTTAATTAGTAATTATACTCTATGAAATAGATTTTTTGAAGATATGACATAATTAAATGAATGTCAATGTTACATATTTGATTTTCTTTAATATTTATTTGAGAAAATCAACAATCGATGCTAACTTTTAATAGAACATCTATATTAACGAGTCAATATTTACACACTTGACCGATGTCGATAGCACACATAGATCATCTATTTTGACAAGAACAGCGCATGTTGATCCTGCTGTTTCTATAAATGGTACTAATTAATATGCTTGAAACTAAACTTTTCTTTTTTTTGTTTTTTTTCAAGTAATTTTAATGAGAATGTGTTTGAATGATGAAGTTGTATGTGACATTTTAGATAAGTTCATCAATGAATTCAACCGAAAAATCGTCTAGAGAATTTTCTAATATATTTTCAGACAAATCATTTTATTGTATTGTAATCTAATTGAGGATAGTTTTCGAAAAATATTTACAATATTCTTTCGTGAATCTATTTTGAATTAATTAATAAATACAAAAAAATTTTTAGTTGTTCTGTTTAAAATAAATTCAAAATAAGAATTAATAATATTTCGTATTTTTTTTTTTGTTTTTTTTTATTGAAATAATAATATTTTCTATATATTTATATATTAATTACTTTAAAATGAAAGTAATTCATTAGCTTTATGTAATTGAAAAAGCCATTTAATTATTCTTGCATTACGTTCAATAACAGTTATTGATGATGGAACAATTGTTCGTTTTTTATGTGTTGGACTATTTATACTATCAAGTGTTGTTTGATCAGATAGAGATAATACACTAACACTTTCGAATGCACCATAATCGGAAATATTTGTTATTGAAGATGTCGATGATTGTAATGGAAGATCTAATCGAAATCGATCTTGTTCATATTCTTGATAAGGCGAACGATGTAATTGTCTAATTAAAAGAAAAAAGAGCTAGAAAAATAAAATCCTTTTCTTTTTTCTTGTTCAAAGTTAAAAATTTACGCTGTTCGAAATGTTGATTTTATTCGTTGATTATTTGAAAGTGTTTGTCGATTATGTAGAACTTCTTGACTTTTAACAAAATATACTTTTGTTTCATCAAGTAATTCTGTTGCTGTACGTCTTGGATACTGTTCTAATATAGAGAAAAGAGAACATGTCAGAATAAATTATTAGTATGACATAATAAAAATAGCATTGATTCAATGAAATTCTTTTTCGGAAATGTTTTTTTGTCTTACGGTAAAATGAATCAAAAAAAAAAAAGAAAAGTTCTATGACATTTTATTATTTCATATGAGTATGACAGATATATTAATCCGATTTTTTTTTCCTAGTATTTGTACTTGATTATTGTATATGAAATGAATTAGACAGTTGTACAACAGATGATTTAGAAATAATAATGACAACAAGAAGACAAATATGTATGGTTCATTAACATTTCTTATGTAAACATAACGACCTGATCATTATTATCCTTTCCATTTTGTACAATAAGTTTGTCTTCATTGATAAAAGACAAACTTTTTTTTGTTTGATCTTTAAAAAGACTTACTTGAAGATGAAGCTGCAGTAGATAAACGAATACGTTCTAATTTTGTATAAAAATCATCATATTTTGTTTTATTATTACTGTTCATAAGTCCAGCTCGTCGTCTATCGACACATCGCTGATGTTGTTGCATCCTCTTCTTTTGAATATATGTGCTCAGTAGTTTGTCGCTTGTACTCACTATTCTCTCTCTCTCTCTCTGTCTCTTTTTTTTATATGTGTGTATGTGTCTTGGTCGATGTTTGAGTAATGTGAAGAATGATGATGAATGAACGAAGAGTGAAAATGAAGACCGAGGAAAAAGAAGAAGAGAAATGAGCGTAAAGAACAAGTTAGTTGTATGTCTACCTTGAATTCTAGAAGATGTAGAGAGAAAAAAAAAGAGAGAAGAAAACCTTGACAATAACATTGTTTGGTGCGATGAATGTGAATTGTCTTTTTTCTTCTTACATCATCATTCATTATTCAGTCCAACCTGTCAGACATGACACGGTTCGACACCTTAATATTTTTATCGAACCATCTGTTTTACATGCACATATATATGATTGATTATTCATTAGGTTAATCTTTTACTTGAATATAAGACATGTATTTGATTGTCGATTCGTGAATTATGGAAATAACTTATAGACATTTTTATTCTTCATCATTCTTTTCTTCTTTCTATAAATTCTATGAAGAATAAATGGAATAGTCAATCTCTATTGTTCAAAATAATTAAAGCGAATACAAATGCTATTAAAATATGAAAAAAAAAATCTCTTTGTTTTGTTCTTTATAAGATAATTTTATCCTATTCCATTAAAACAATCTATTGTTTATATATAGATGTGTATGTGTCATCGTCTCTAAAAAAAAAGAGGCAATATTTATTCTAGCTGAATAGTCGGCAGACATTATTTGATGTCAACGAAAGACTAAAAGCATTCTATTCAAACGATAAGTTTAAGTTAAAAAACTTATTGTTAAACAGAAACAAGTGTTTATATATGAATAAAAAGAAATACAAGAATGATTGTTGAAGTTAGAACTGAAGATGTTGTTCGCATATATATATATAGATCAAATTACCTCTTGACATTTTCGTCAATCATTCATCAAGATAAACTTATTGCAGCAAGTATCTACTAAGTAAAACAAATAGGTTAAATGATATGTGAAGATATTCAATCAATATTTTACATAGAAAATATCAATTTTTTATATATAATGTGTAAGAGACAAAAAAAACTATCAATTTTTTTTGTTATCTATAGTGGCATAACCAGATGGGAGGATAGAAGGAAGCTTAGTACTATCCCCTTCCACCACGGAAAGCATTGAGTACTTCTAGAAGCTTTATTAGAATATCTATGTTCCATTTTCCAATTGTAAATAGAGGTACAGCGATTTCTAGAACGTAATATCAAAGATGGCATTGGTTTTTTTCTTTATTAAGAATATAGTTCTGTGTTTATTGTTTATATTCTTTATTTATAAGTTTAGTTGGAATTCCTAAATAAATAATTCGCAATTTTTTAGTTTTTCATATCGATTTATTTCAACTGATTTTGAGATCAGCCATTTGCATTAATTCATCATGGTGAAAATATTCTAAATTCTGATTAGAATTCATACCAATTGTGCTTAGTTTTGAACTCTGTTTTCGAATCTATTCTTAGGTTTTGTTCCATGCAAATAACAGATCTCAAAAACCAGTTGAAGAAAAACTTAAAAATTCAAAATTTTGACCAGTACAAACTACATTCTGAGTAATGAGAAAATATCATCTTTGACATCATGTTCTACAAATTGGTATATCTGATTTTAGTACAGATATATTTTTCAAATAATGTATGTTTATTTTTTTTATTTTCATTTTGTTCTCAATGTAATAAATCACATGTAAAAAAAAAGTTACAAATAATTAGACTTGAATAGTTGAATTTTAATTGTACTATCTTAATGATCGTTACGAATTATTTGTTTTTTTTTATAATTCAGTAAGAAACAATAGCTGTTAAAGATTTTCATAGTTAACTTTAAAATAACGATTTCTGTGTCAATTTATCATATCTTTCATTTAAAAATATTAATTATTTATCGAAAATATCAACATTTGAAATGTGCAAGATCAATTCAAATTCCACAACTAGTTCTGTGAGAAATTCTAATTTGTTATGGTAAACATAAGTTTGATTTGAAGGTTTGAAATTAGAATAAATTGTTTACTAATTTTTGAATTATAATTACTAACCGAGAAATCAATAATTGAATGATGACAATTAGTCGCAGTTTAGAATTGGTTACACTTTTAAGTGGAATGTACTTCTTTTTTTAGTTTTCAACATATGATTTAATATTACATAGAGGAGAATAACAGAAATATATAAAAATCAAAATAAAATCGATGAAATGGATAAACAAAAAACTATATTTCATGTTAGATAGCGTAACCCATAAAAAAGCAAAAAATCCTCGAAATAAGAACATTTCTATGGATTATGGTAAATTCTAAAAATAATCATTATTTCCCCTCATCTAACGCTTTCTATACAACTATAAGGATTTATCAAATATTCACATTTTATACTTGCATGTAATGTCTCTAGTCTATCAAAATGTCTCCTTTTTTTAATGGCATTATGTTTCAGTGCTTCAATTAATACTGATGATCATCTGTATTATTTTTTTTTTGTAATACTAAAAATACTTTGATAGTTTTAGTTTTGAGCATTGCAATTAATTATCTTAGTATACAACTGTCTTTCGAACAATTATCCCATGCAACTTTAAACATCTGGTTAATAATAAATGTTTTAAAATAAAGTTTTTATGCTTCATTATTTTTTTTTTGAATAAATATAGAACTAGTGACTTTTACTATTCAAAAGATCAAAATAGAAAACATGAATGAATCAAATTATAAAAAAACTCAGTACTTGCATTTTTCATTTGACTGAAAAGTACTAGTAAATTATCTCTATTCTTCATGTTTAACTTCATAAGACAACTGATTCAAATGACAGATGTTTATTAGATGATGCCTTTATATCAACTCAACTCAACAAGAGGAAATATTGAAGTTGTTCTATTAAGCAAAGAAGATTCTTCTGAGATACAAAGGAAATTGCAAGTTTTTTTTTATAAATGTTTCTTTTAGCAATCCTGAAAAAAAAGCTTTTTTTTTTTCTTGAGTGATAAACATACACATTGTTCAATTGATTCATGATAAAAGAAAGTCTACACTTTAAGAAATAGGATTTTTTTTGTATTGTTGTTGTTTTAATAATCATGTATCTCAATTTTTTTTCTAGATATTCTTTACAACAATGACATTACTCAAATTGTTTGCATGTATACATAAATAACGAAATAATTCGAAATAAAATATTCGCACGAGAATATTAAGCGATCAAATTACTGTTATTTTATTTTAATTCATTTTATTCTATTTCTTTCAAGTATGACGTCAATTTAAATTTTGTTCTATATGATATATTTTGTTAAAAAATTAGAAAAGAAAAAAAAAAAAAAAAAGACTAAAAGAAATTACTTTTCCTTCTTTTTTTTGTTTCCGGAAGCTCTAGTAACATAAAAAAAAAGTATTGTTTATGTTCTTTCATAGTAATGAAAAGTGAGAATCTCCTGATGAGACAAACTAACATGGAGATAAGAAAAAATCAAAACAAAAAAAGTATTCTAGACATGAAAAGACAATTTCTACTGTATATATGAAGAGGAAAACATCGACAGGTGAGTATTTAAAAATCACATATATATTAACAATTGCAATATGAAATGCTATCACATAAATATAGAAATAGAAAACAGATTATTATTACTTTTTCTGATATATTACTTCCGATAACAGAAAAATGTCATCAATTAAATCTGTTAAATTTGCTGACACAATACCAACTAATAATCATGATTCTCGTATTATTATTAATGTTGGTGGTACAAGATTTGAAACACAACGAACAACATTAAAAAAATTACCAGCCACACGTTTATCAAAACTAACACCACAATTATCATATTATGATCCAGTATTAAATGAATATTTTTTTGATCGACATCCTGGTGTTTTTTCACAAATCCTTAATTATTATCGAACTGGTCGACTACATTATCCAACCAATGTATGTGGACCATTATTTGAAGATGAACTTAATTATTGGGGTATACAACGAGAAGAAGTTGAACCTTGTTGTTGGTAAATAATATAAAAAAAAAAAAATTTTTCATGTGTGTTTTTTCTTGATCTATTTTCAGGATGACTTATACAAAACATCGATCAACACAAGAAACATTACAAGTATTAGATTCATTAGAACTCGATACAGTTCGATCAACACCTGATGATATTATTAAAAAATTTGGTTGGGAAAATGATCATAATTTAATTAGTACCGGTCAATTATCAGTACGTAAACGTTTAATAAGTATAATATGGCAATTATTTGAAGAACCAAGATCATCATTAATGGCTAAAGTAAATATAAATAAATTTTTTTAATATCAATTTATATTTTGAATTCATTTTCTTAAGAGAAGTCTTTCGCTTTTTTATTCCTCCCAATCGAACATCAATATTTAGACATTATTTTGATTGTTTTGTGAAAAATATCATTTCAAAAATACGATATACCATTGATTTGCCAGGATTTACAAAAAAAAACAAGTTCAAGTTAAACAACAAACATTTTCGAGAATGATTTTAGTTGAATGAATGAAGATAAAAGTTTGACAAATGAATTAGTGTCTGATATGTGTAGAAAAATATTCAGTCCTATTCGATATAATATGACTGAGAAAAATAGAGCGATCAAGAAAGGAAGAGATATGTCCTGTCCTTGCGATTCCCAAAGCTCGATTTATTCCGAATTCAAATATGAAACTGCTTTGAATTTCAGAAAGATTTCTTCTGTTTTGAACATTTCTTAATATATGTTTCATTCTATTAAAAATCTATTACTTGTTCTAAATTAGAATGCATGTAGACATATGACACTAAATAGATCTGTTTCTTTTCCAATTATTAAGGATCTAAATATCTTATTTGTCTATGAAAAGATCCGATAATCGAACTATTTTACTATGAAAAATTAATAAATTAAGAAAGTAAAATTCAAATTGTTTTATATAATTTTACATATAAATAAACTTCATAATTGTTCAAATATTTTTAAAATTTAAGTTTTTCCTTTTCAAAATATTGAATATCTATTAATTAAAAAACATCTCAAATGAAAAGCTTCTCATTATCATACTATCCATGTGAAATCTTAGTATAATGAGTATCATTATTTTCTTTAGTCTTATTGAAATCTTTTTTTTTGTATATTTCTATGAAGAACATAGAAACAATTGAAAAAAGTTTCATATAAGTTTAAAATCAAATATTAAAGCTCAAATCTATTTCGATTAATCTATTATTAAGAAAAGAAGTAATAGAATAACAAAATTTTCTATGTAAATGTAACTGTTTTCTTTTATTTTTTTTGATTCTATCGTGTGAAAATTATGACTTAATATTTTGAAGTCAATTAAAACTTTTGTTTGAAATTCAATAGATAATTGCTGTTATATCAATGTTTTTTATAATTCTTTCAATTGCTTTATTTATTCTTCGTACATTACCAGTATTTGATATAACTGAATATGATATTTTAACTGACTATACGAATGATAATTTAACTGAAGAAATACTTGTACATAATACACAACGACATGAAATTATTTCAGGTTTTGATACTATGGAATGGATTTGTATGAATATTGAATATATATATATTTATATAGAATTGAAAATATTTTTTTCTTCTAGGTAATTCTTGGTTTGTATTTGAAATTATATTAAGATTTTTAGTTGCACCATCAAAAAGAGCATTTTGTACATCAATACTTAATTGGATTGGTAAGAAGAAAGATAATTTTTTTTTTACGTTGAAATTCCTATTTTGAGAATTGTTTTTGAAGAAAAATGTTTGAAATTGAGTTTAAAAGCTTTTAAATACGTACATTTCGTCTCACTATTCAATCTATTGATGATAGAAAAAACTTCATTCAGTCTAATTCTTAAATACATATTCATCATTAACATGTTCTTTCATGCTGTACATCTTTTTGAAAAAAAACAAAAACAAATCGGACGACATCCTTTATGTTTTTTCTTTTTCTTTTTTTTAAATTAGATTTTCTTGGTACATTTTGGTTTTTTTTTACTTATATTATCTATAATATATTTCGTTTTGATGGTTATAATGCTGCATTAGATCTTTTATCAACAATACGTGTAGCACGTATGTTTAAATTATGTAATCTTCATCCACGTTTAAAAGTTATTATAACATCAATGTCATATTCATCAAGTGTATTAAGTTTATTAATATTTTTCTTTTTTCTTGCTATTATGATAGCTGGTTCATCAATGTATTATGCTGAACGTTTAAGTAATTCATCTGATAGTCAATTAATATCAATTGCTGAAGGTATATGGCTTGCAATAAGTACAATAAGTACACTTGGTTTTGGTGATATTGTACCTAAATCATTGACTGGAATGATATTTGGTGCTATAACAACAATTGTTGGTGTATTAATTATTGATTTACCAATGCCAATTATTGTTGAAACATTTGCTAATTTTAATTCACATTTACAAGCTCGACAACAATTACCTAAACAAAGACGACGTGTAACACGAGCTATTATACCAAGAAAAATAAATCCATTAATGCCATCAAATGGACATGATCATCAACATCGTTTTTAAATATTTTTTAACAAATGATTGTTATTAATAAACAAATTCTTGTTAATGTTTTGTTTATTGTATTTATATTTGAGATTATATATGTAAATTTAAGCAGACATGTATGAATAAATAATAAGATAAATTGCTTTTTTAATTCTAATAAATCAAACATTTATCTGTTTTTCTTTTTTCTATAAATTTAAATATAAATCTTAAGGAAAGAAGTATGTTTAAATCAGTGATGAACAGTACACAAGATTTTTTTATACCTAGATAGCTTAATGTTTTATCTAGCGTGAGGATCGAAAAAGCGGTGCTCTTCCGACGATCAAATTAATTCTATTCGGGATTTCTGGTTATTGTACAAGGTATTATACGTCTCTACTCTCAAGAATAGATGTTTATCCTTCCGAAAGAGAAAAATCTGGATAAACAATTGAAATGGCATAATCTTAAATGATTTCATTAAATTTATTTGTAATAAAATGTCTGTATCTATCCACATGATAATCACAATAGTTTTAATGATGACCAAATGTGAGTCTTATACAATTGTAAAACCAAAACTGAAAGTCAATCGTTGGAAAGTTAGATCAAACGATTAATGCATAAGAACTATACGTAATGAATTTTATAAAATTCTAAAGGTAGAAATTCCATTCGGTTCTGAAAATGATTATCAAACTAAAAGTCAATGAAATTTATGAAGCTTGTTTTTACACATATTGGTAGACAGTTATATTGAACAGAATATTCTTACTTTTTATTCAAACAAAAAGACTTACATCTTAATCGAATAAGTAATAAATGTGAAGTTAAAAACAATATTGACAAAGTAATTATTATAAATCTTGTTGAAATCAAAAAAGGATTTCGAAATATTTTAACCCTTTGGCTCTCGGCTTTTTTTTGCGAAAATCCAAACTTTTATAAGAAATGTTTAAATATGATTTTTATTTATTTCTTGAATGAAATCACATTTCTAGGAAAAGGATTTATATGGCTGGAAGAAAGAAATAAAAACTATGTACAAGTTGAGAAGTGAGATAACCTGTCTTTACAGGTCATAGTACTATATAAAGTGGTAAAGAGAAGGAATACTCCCATCCTGGAATATCCCAAAATGATAATAAGCTAAGAAGGAACAATTCTGCAGGGACTAGCCAATACGTGAGGAATAAATCAACGGTGAACAAATACCAGGACGTATATATACGTCGGCGGGAGCCAAGGGGTTAACATGATGAAGACAAAATATTTTCCAACACCTAATATGAAAGAATAACTGTAACAAAACGGATTTTAGTATTCATTTTGTTTGAAATATGTCCGAAACCTAAACTACCATTCGAGAAAGACTGTAATGATATAAGATTATACTTGTATACATTTGAAATCTACTCATGCACGATAACAGAAAACTTCTCTTTTGTTCTTTAGAGATATTATAATCATTTATAAAATGAACTGAATGTTGTTATCAATGTGTGTTGACTATGATATTTTCATGATTCTTATTATCCATAAAATCGTCTTCAACAGTTCAACATCAAATATAATGGAATCATCTATTTGATGTGAAAAATGGAGATTTTAAAAAGATGTTTAATAATATTTAATATTATCATTTAATCGAATGTGTTTTGATATCAATCGACAACTTGTCTAAATATGAATGATAATATTATTTTTGCATGGTCAAAAGTTCCGGATTTTCATTTTTTTTTTGTTATACTGTAACATCTATTTCTCGTCAATGACAAAAGCAGTTTTTCTTTGGATTTGCATTATAGATAGAGTCTAAAAAAGAAGATAAAAATACAGCAAAAGTATTTTTGTTGTAATATCAATGAATATTCGACAGATTGTTCTATTTAGTCTAATGATGACAAAAAACAAAAATATCCGTCAAAAATTCACTTACATTTAAATAAATACTTTAGCTGGTTTTTTATTTTCTTGTTTATTCTTGAATTTATATGATCTTATTTATTGAATTAGATACAGACTATTTACATGTACTATTAATGAAAATTTCATTGATTTCAAAAAATGAAGTTTTTTGTTTTTCATGGAGCTGACAATTCAGCATTTTAACAGACGATAAAATGACATACAAACAAACTTTCTATATAAGAGTTGTTGAATTTTTAACAAGCTTTCACAATATCAGATAATTCCTTGTCAAGTATAACTACATCAAATATAAAACTAAAAATAGAGTTTCATCAAAAATAAAGATGATTTCTGAACGTATTATCTTGGTTCATACACATCTACCATTTGTACGAAAATCATATGTTGAAAGAATATTTCAGATTCGATCGATGTTTGTTTAATAATGTATTTCATTATCATCTTTTACACATATTTTCAATTTGTTCATTTAAAGAGAAATGGTTCGATTTCGAATAGGATTGATCGTTCTTGTTTCCATGGTAGATTCAGCTTTCTTTATTTTTGAATTCGAACTCTCTCGATGTATGGATGACTGATGCTATGTCATACCGATTCAATTGAAGAACTTTCCTCATTAATCTGAAAATACACTAAACGATGAAAGAGAATATGTCGCAATATTCAAAGATCATCGGAAAAGTAACATGTTTTCTTTAACTAGAATCTATTAATCAAGTTTTGTCATGAAACAATTTTATGCGCGTAATGCGTCCACAAAACGTTTTGGATAATACGCTAGTTCTTACGATTTTGTCTATTTTTTTATTGTTTTCCTTTCGATGAAAAATGAGCAACAAAGACGACGTTGTTCCCTTGATATTGATTTAAATTATATTCAACAAACGAAACCTTTTTTACATTATTAACTAGATATGAATTAAAAGCATTCACGCAGAATTCTTGATCGAATATGTTCGTAAGTAAATGTTAAACAAAATCTAATTAACTTGCAAAAAAAAATATATTAAATATTCAAGAAAAAAAGATATCTTTCATTGTAGTATAATTAATCGATTCAATTCATTTTAATATTGTATTTGAAAGGTGTAATCAAGGGTTTTCCAATCTGGTCATCGTTAATATTTGTTCTAGAATACGAAAAAATTAGTCACTAATAAATATTATCATTGACACTTTTTTCAGATTAATTGTTTTGAAAATCATCGGATATCGCCTTTTCATCAATACTTTTCTAGTTACGTTCTTTTTGTATGTGACTTATTGTCCTAGAAACGTATTCCTATCGTCTATTCAAATAATCAGTAGTGTAGAGCCCGTTAATTTGATACAAATTTTAAACTTATCTTCGAGTTTTCAACTGCTTTCGTGATATCCGCCGCCAAAGCATGCACATCTCAATTCTTCACTACTCGAAAAGAGACTTCACAGCATTATGCATATGAGTTTCAGAGAATTTCTGAACGTTCTTAATTGTACCATAGACAGTCTTCAATGGATTTCTCTAAGTTGTCCACGGTATCATTAGGAATGCATAGAAGATTTTGAGCAAATTTCCTCCAATGTTCAGAGAATCGTCAGAATGTTTCAGCAGATGCTTAGCTGACTTGCAGATGTTTCTTACCATTGAAACGGCTTCTATAGATTCCAGTGTTTTGAATTAGATTCATTCACAAGACTCTTTTTTACTTTATGTTTAACACATGAATATTTTTATTTCTTATTCTTCAATTATCTTTCAAATATTACAGCGCACAAGAAATACTAAATTCTTCATAAATAGATTCGTCTTGAAAAAAAAACCAATCTGTTTAGACTTCTATTTTAGTTTCTTCAAATATCGGTTTCTTTTTTTTTATGAATCCAGAGAAATCGTTCTAAGCATCTTTTATGTCACATAATCTCTCTTTCTTTTTTGTTTTCACAATTATAAAAGAAATGATGATCTCCATTGTACCGACAATAAAGAAAGAAAATGCAGAAAAATATGTCTATAAATCGTCGTTTGATAAACAATATTGTTGTTTCGAATTAGAGCTGTACTAATATTTTCTTCAGCTTTTATAACAACATCTTGATTTTTGTCAATGTCGATATCATCCGAACAACAGCTGATTATGCTAACTAAATGGAAAGACAAGCTATATAATAGATATTAATTTCTTTACAAATGGGCTTTCACAAACTTTAAGAACTTATGCAGCAATCATATGTATTTGTTTGAGATTATTTTTAATTCAACTTCTATCAACAGTTAAGAAAGCAATGCTTGATAAAGATATTTTTGAAACTTGAAAGTCTTCGTATATAGTATTTCATAAATTCGTGCGAATTGATCCTATGATATAAAAATAATTTCATTTAACTTTTGAAATCATTTATTTTTATCTAAAGAGAAAAAACATAGATGTTACAATATATGAAGTTATCGAAAGTTCTATATAATTTTTCTAATATCATTGCATTTGAATTGTGCTAATTCCTGAATTACAACCATGGCAAAAAAAAAAAGAATACCTTTAGAACTAGTAAAAGAGTTTCTTTTTATAAATATTTTTTTTGTTTTTCATCAACACGATGGTACGAAAATCTTGACACAAAATATTCATTTATTTTTCCGATCAGCTACCCAAATCAATCAAAAATATTGTAAACTTTGAACAGTATTGAAGCTAAGAAGAATTGCGATCAATATCAACCAATAATTCATGTATTGAATTTTAACAATCGTTTGAACCTTTTTTAGCTACAATGATTTAGGATGGAAATAAGTATATTGCCATCATTATCTATTGCAGTTATTCATGACTTAAAAGTAAAGACCTAATTTATCTGTTCTTAGATAAAAATATGTATATAAGTTCGTAATTGCATACATTTCAATTTTTGCAATGCTCTATTGTAAAAGAATTTTCTTTGATATTTCAAAAGTATTGATCATGGATGATATGAACTCAATGTTAACATCATTTATCTGAAACTATTATATTTTCATCGTTGTTACAATTCATAAAATCGTTTTTTTTTTATTTCGTCATCAATAGACAATATATTAATCAATGAATTTAAAATTTTGTGACATAGAAAGTTCTTCTATTAATAAATCACTTTTGAATTGAGCCTATATACATCATATAGATTTCAAATGAGTTTGTGAATATCCTGAAAAGAATTCATAATCTCGACTCATTGCTATGGACGATATATTTCTTATAATTAAGACTTAAAACAATATCGATAATTTTTTTTTTTATTTGTATGTTTTATAGATTTTAAAAAAATCCAAGAATTTTCTTCTAATTCTCAAACCATAATAAAGAAGAATATTTTGTATATAATCGAAAATATTTTTATTTTGTTTTAATCTTATTGTATCATTTTGTTTATTAATTTTCTAATAACACTCTGATGGAAATGAGCATAAAATAGAAAAACAAAAAGTGAAATCATCATTAATTATTCAATTGATGTTAATATGAATAATATTTGACGATTATCGAAGACGACGAGCTTCACGTTCAGATTCTAGAAGAACGAGAACATCATCAACACGCCTAAAACAAAAAAGAAATCAAATAATATTTTTAAATTAAAAAAAATAAACTCAATAACATACACTGGTCCTTTGACATTACGAATAATCGATCGTTTTGATGATGATGTATCAATAATTTCAACCCGTACTTGTGTACATTGCCCTTGACTGCCAGTTCGACCAAGAATTTTGACAACACGTGCCATAACACCGCCAGTTGGGTTTTTATCCATGTTGGTAATCGAATGAAATCTAAAAATAAAAAATATGTAACAATGATATTACAATAATAAATAATAAGTTGTTTCGAAAAAAAAAGAAGGAGAAGCTAAATGAATCTATGTGTCGCCATCTTATAAATGTTGTATTTAGTCCTTCAATAAAAGTTTTCTTTTTTTGCAAAACATAAAAGAAAATTTCTTAGAATATTTTATAGAATTTTTGTTTTTAATAATTTTTATAAAAAATTTCAAAATAAAATAATTAAACAAATCAAATAATTTTTTCTTGTCTATATTATATTTCGTGGATTCATTTGACATCGAAAATCATTAGATTTGCGAATTCCGTAACTTCTCTTGTTTTTTGGTTTATCATCTTTCATTATATCAATCATAAATAAATAATAAGTCTTAGAAATAATTCATTAGATTAACATATTCGATAGATTATTTTTTTTTCCGACTCTCATTTATATTTCTTAGCAACCAAATGTGTTCAGAGGCCAATTAAGATTAAATTTATTATATAACATCACATAAGGAGGAAAAACTAAAGAAAAACTTTTGAAAAGATATTTCTATAGATAAAATATTAAAAATTTATTTTAGATTTTTTTTCAAATATGGCTGACGAAGAAAAATATGATGCACTTTTAATGAATATTGCCTCACAACATACAGGCGGAATTCATGAAGTATATTAATTAAATTCAATTTTTTTATTCATTTTATTTTTGTTTTTTATAGTTACTTGATACACTTTTTGGATTTTTTGCACGTAAAACTGATTTATATACAAGTCCAAATGTTGGAGAAAAACCTGAAGAATTAATTTTACGCGCATTTCATAAATGGGAAAAAATTGCAGTAGAAAAACATAAAAAAGATAAAGCCGAACGAGATGAAGTAAATGAGTATGATTTTTTTTTTTTGTTTAAAAATTTTATGTGTTCAAAGGCTGATCGTATTCGACGTGAAAAATTACGTCGTAAACGTGAAGAAGAAGAAGCTGCAAAAAATGATTCATCACGTATTATTGAAGTTACTGATGAAGAAGCAGAAAAAATTACACGAGAAAATGCTCAAGCTAAAGTATGAATCTTAGTTTTATTCATAGAAGATAAATTCAATCGTGAATAATAAATAATTTTCTTCTTTTTTTATGATTCTGAGTGTGATAATGCAAGAAAATTTTGAATTTTGAAATTCTTATTGAAAGTGATCTCACAGGAATTGAAATATTCTATTGGAAAATTTATTAAAATAGTGATAATCTAAGAAGATGAATATTTTTTTTTCGAGTTTTTATAATCATAATAGAATGATCGTCATGGTAGAATGGTTACGTTACTTACTCAAGCGATTGAGTACAGGAACTCTGCGTTAGATAGGTTTTCTGTTTACGGGTGCAGCGAATATAAGTTGTAGGAAAAAAGGTTATCTGAAAAGTGATTTTTTGGGATTCCGGAACTTCGCCAATTGGTGGAAGTACAGTGGGCTTTCGTCAATTTCATTGTGAACTAGATGTGGATTCGAAAATTCCTGTCGGTTATATTGATGAGTGTAAGCTATGATAAGTATTCTAATAACATTAGCTTCAGCTAGAGCCCATCGAATCTACTGGGACTCGAACTCGACCGGATCCGGGTCTGAAAGCTTTGTAATCACTGAGTTCGTGTCCAAGTTCGGAAAATTTTACTGATCGGATCCAGATCCAAAGAAATATCTCATGTATATAATCATCTTTTTGGGATTTCTTTCAATTTTTCTCTTAAAAGATGTATCAGTCGAGTTCGGGTACAGAAATTTTTGAATTCGACAGACTGTAGCTTCAACTCTTACATGTACCCTGTGTTAATATTGTTTCGTAACAGTTGGAGAAAGTCTACTGTACTTTCGCCAATTGACGAAAGTCCACTACACTTACGCCAATACATTCCCTGGACTTTCGCCATTGGCGAATGTCCTATTGGCGAACTTTCGGTAACCCGATTTTTTGATTGTGATGAAGTTATGACAAGGGGGAAACACCGTACTTTGTACTTTAAAGTACTTTGAGGTACTTTGAGGTACTTTAAAGTACTTTGAGGTACTTTGAGGTACTTTAAAGTACTTTGAGGTACTTTGAGGTACTTTGAGGTACTTTAAAGTACTTTAATGTACTTTAAAGTACTTTGAAGTACTTTAGTGTACTTTAAAGTACTTTGAAGTACTTTAGTGTACTTTAAAGTACTTTGAAGTACTTTGAAGTACTTTGAAGTACTTTAATATACTTTAAACTACTTTAATGTACTTATATAGTTCAAGGCATATTTAACGGTACTCTCTATAACTCTTTAAGGGTTGTCTAGGGTACTCTCCACATTTGCTCAAGCGCTATCTAGGGACAGTCTCTATGAATCTTCAAGACCTATCCAAGGGTAGTGTTCATATTTCTTCAAGGGCTATCTCGGAGTATTCTTAATATCTTTTCCAGGCCTATCTCGAGGTAATCTTCATAACTCTTTCAGGCCTATCTGGGGATAGTCTTTGTAACTCTTCAAAGGCCATCCGCAAGTAGTGTTCATAACTCTTCAAGGACAATGTAGGGGCACGATTGATATTTCTTCAGGGCTTGTCCAGGGGTAGTGTTGATATTTCTTCAAGGGCTATCTAGGGGCACTCTTATTATCTCTTTAAGGCCTATTCGAGGTAATGCCAAGGGGGAAACACCGTACTTTGTACTTTAAAGTACTTTAAGGTACTTTGAAGTACTTTAATGTACTTCAAAGTACTTTATTGTGCTTTGATATACTTCAAGCTACTTTAAGATACTTCAATGTGCTTATATACATCAAGGCCTATCCACGAGTAGTCTTCATAACTCTTCAAGGCCTATCTACGGGTAGTCTTCATAACTCTTCAACGGCTATCTAGGGGTAGGGGGAGTTACCATTACCAAGTAACTAGTAACAGAAAGTTTGCGGTTCTTCCATTTTCATTTACGCGTCATTTTTTTGTTCCTTCTCGAATACCTATCCTATAGAACTGCCCCTAGGGCCTCACATCCTATGTTTCCGGAAGTACTTGTAGGTCTTCAAGTTCTACCTTATAGGGGAACCTTAGGTCATTATACCCTATTGTATAGGGGTACCCTTACGTCCTCAAGTGCTATAGTACAGGTGTCCCTTAGATCCTCAACAGCTATACTATAACGGCACCGTAGGTCCCCAAGGCCTATACTATAAGGGAATCCATAGGTCCTCACAAGCTATACTATAGGGATATTCCTAGGTTCTCACAGCCTATACTATAAGGGAATCCTTAGATCCTCAAATGCTATACTATAAGGGAACCCTTAGCTCCTCAAGGCCCATACTACAGAGGTACCTTTAGGTCCTCAAGACCTATACTATAAAGGAATCCTTAGTCCTCACGTGATACACTACATGGATACCCTTATACCCTCAAGTGCTATATTATAAAGGTACCCTTAGGTCGTCAGCAGCTGTACTATATGGATACCCTGAGGTCCACAAGGCATTTACTGTAACCTATAGTATAGCACTTGAGGATCTGAGGCTATCGTTATAGTATAGGTTCTGAAGATCTAAGGGTAACTCTGTAGTATAGGGTTTGAGGACCTAAGGGTTAGGGGTGCAACGATGACGATAACCGTAGGTACGGTTACCGGTCTAACCAAGGGGGAAAGGGCATACTTCTGTACTTCTTGTACTTCTTCGTACTTCTCCGTACTTCTCGGTACTTCTTGGTACTTCTTGGTACTGTTTGATACTTCTTGGAACTTCTCGGTACTCCTTGAGACTTCTCGGTACTTCTGTACTTCTGCGTACTTCAGAGGTACAGAAGTATGCCTTTTCCCCCTTGGGTCTAACTAAGATAACAGTAAGTACGGCTATCAGTCCGAGCCCGTTTTCACGAAGGAAAGAGTTTTTTAAGAAAATAATGACTCTTTATAAAGGTTCACGAAAGTAAGTCGGGGTCGAAGAATCCGAATCTGAAGTTAGTTTTTCGATCTGTGCTTCCATTGGTCAGAAAATGGACCAATCGGAAACGAGCTTTTTTCCCTCCACTGGAGGGAGGATCATATGAAATAAAATGAGTTTGTGACCTCGCAGTCATTGGGATAGTAACGCATTCAGATGCGTTTGCATGATTATAGGCCGGATAATCTCCATAATATCAAATATATATGAAGTTTCTTCAGGCAGGCAGTTCAGCCAATTAAATATTTTCGGCGTTCCCTATGAGTCCGTCAAGCTTTATTTATTTCATATCACCGTCCCTTCAGTCGAGGGAAAAAAGCTGGTTTCTGATTGGTCTATTTTCTGACTAATGAAAGCTCAGACAGCATAACTGACTTCAGATTTGGATTCCTGGATATCGATAACATATTGCAAAGTTTTATCAAAAGGTCGAAAAGCCTTAATATAAAAAAGCGCATTTCCGATTGGTCCATTTTCTAACCAATGAAAGCTCAGATCGAAAAAAAAGACTTCATATTCAAATTCCTGGATATCGATAACGTTTTGCAAAGTTTTATCAAAAGGTCGAAAAGCCTCAAAATAAAAAATCTCGTTTGTGATTGGTCCATTTTCTGACCAATGAAAACTCAGATCGAAAAACTAAGTTCAGATTCGGATTCTTCGACCCCGATTTACTTTCGTCAACCTTTATAAAAAGTCGTTATTTTCTTAAAAAACTCTTTCCTTCGTGAAAACGTGCTTGCATTGATAACCGTACTTACTGTTATCTTAGTTAGACCGGTACCAGTACCTACTGCTTTTGTAGATGGGCCGATAACCGTACCTACGGTTATCGTAGTTAGAGCGGTAACCGTACCTACGGTTAGCGGTTTGGACCGGTGAAAGGATGACGGTATACCGGTGAATGATCGTCGCCGTTGCATCCCTACTAAGGGTTCCCTTATAGTATGGCTGTTGAGGACTAAGGGTATCCCTATAGTATAGCATGTGAGGGCCTAAGCGTTCCCTAATAGCATAGGGCTTGAGGATCTAAGAGTACCTCTATAGTGTAGGCCTTGAGGACCTATGGATTCCCTTCTGGTATAGGCCTTGAAGAGTCATGAGGATTACCCTTGAATAGTCTTCAAAGAGATATGAAGGCTGCCCCTAGATAGCACATGAAAAGTTATAGAAAATACCCCTAGGTACCTTGTAAAAAAATAGTATAATTTAATTTGTATCTAATAAATTATAAAAAGCAAACGAGTGAAATTTAATATTAATTACTCATAATTGAAATTTATATTAAATCAGCAGGAAAATGACATCCCAACTTTAAGATACTTTAATGTACTTTTAAGGTACTTTAAACTACTTTAATGTACTTCAAAGTACTTTAAGGTACTTTGAAGTACTTTGAAGTACTTTGAAGTACTTTAAAGTACTTTAAGGTACTTTAAAGTACTTGAAGTACTTTGAAGTACTTTAAGGTACTTTAAAGTACAAAAGTACGGTGTTTCCCCCTTGAGTTATGACCAAGAATAATTTGCCTTTTCAATTCATTAATCAAGAAATAATTATATTGAATACAATTTCATTTTATAAAATGGATTTTGAAATTTGTATAAAAATAGTTACGTTCAGGATTCTAAGATAAATAAACCATCAGGTTATTTATTGATGTCTGTCATACATTCGAAAAAACAAACTAGAATTTTTTGATTTAATGATAAAAGTATGAAAGTATTGAAAACAGTAGATTATATTTGTAGGCACAAAAATTAGGCACAAATAATGAAGTTCCAGTGGAAAAACAAAATGAAACAATAAATATTACTGAATCTTCAGGTGATAATGAAGAAAAAGATAAAGATGAGAAGGTAAAAATAATTAATTTCATTCAAAAAAAAAAAGAAAGAAAAATTCATATTCATAGAAAGAAGATGAAGATGAAAATGAAGAAGATAAAGGTAAAGAAAAACCAAATGCTGGTAATGGCTGGACTGGACCAAATTATTCATGGACACAAACACTTGAAGAAATTGATGTAAGTTGGTTTTTCTTTTCTATTTGAATAATTATATATTTTTTCTATGAAATTAGTTACGTGTTCCAATTAAACTTAATATTCGTATAAAATCTAAAGATGTTATTGTTAAATTCGAACGCAAGGTATGATTATTTTATTTTATTTTTTTTGTTTAATGTTTATATTTCGAATGACAATCGTTTTATATAGCATTTATTTGTTGGTCTTCGTGGTCATCCACCAATTATTGATGGAGAAACATTTGCTGAATTAAAAAAAGAAGAATCTATGTGGACATTAGATGATGGAAAAGCTATTCATATTGTTATTGAAAAAGTATCTATGTTTTTTTTTATATTTGTTAATAGATTTATTTTAATTAATATTAAGGTTAATAAAATGGAATGGTGGAGTCGTATAGTAAAATCCGATCCAGAAATAAATACACGTAAAGTTCAACCTGAAAATTCAAAAGTAAATTTTTTTTTTTTTTTAAATAAATTTTTTATTTATTTAATAAAATTTTTATTAAATTTAGTTATCAGATTTGGATGGTGAAACTCGAGGTATGGTTGAAAAAATGATGTATGATCAACATCGACGTGAAGCTGGTTTACCTACTTCTGATGAACAAAAGAAACAAGATATGCTTAAAAAGTAAATTATTATTATTATTATTTTTATTTTTATAGAAAACAAAAATAAGAAGTATAAATCTTCTATTTCATTTTGTTTATTAGATTTATGGATGCTCATCCAGAAATGGATTTTAGTAAATGCAAGTAAGTTTATTGATTGAGATAAAAATTTTTTTTTCCATTATTATTATTATTAGATTCAATTGAACAATCTTCATTTGTTTTTATCACATAAGCCAAGAATGATTTAATAAACTGTGATTAGTTGCATTCTATATTGGTATCGTTTTCTTCATTTTAAATAAAAATGAACACAGAAAAAAAAAAGTCCATTGATATCACAGTCATTATCCTAATGATTTTCTTCATGCATTAAAAAATCGAATGTTTTTAATTGAAATGCCTGATCTACGATAAAAGATTTAGATCAATATTCGATAATGATATGTATTCGATAATATATTTAATTACTAGATATTATTCGCAACCGATAGATTCTAATCATAGCTTGATAGTCAACGAATTTCATATGATTTTAGAGTCAACTATTGAGTATAAAACTTAAAATTTTCAAAATTTGCCTGTATATTTTACGATTATGATTATGATAATGCACCATCAAAATTTAATTATATCGACAATTAAACAAATTTGAATTTTGTGACAAATTGAGCAAGGAAGTTAATGAACTTCAGGAGATTTATGCATACACTAGATGTTTCACTGAAACATTCAGAAGTTTTTGATCAATAGTCGAATTCTGTCATTCTGAAAATAATATCAATCGAAAGCAAAATATAAATTTGTTCATCAAAATAAAATAGATTAAAAAATATGATATTTTTAAAGGTTAATCATTACATATTATCTATCTATTTCCGTTTTAATCATATGATTATGTATATCATGTAACCTTTGACGATAGATTGCTGTTGCTTTCTGATAATTTGACAATGCATCAATCATATTTACACTCCAGATCGATGATTCGAAGTTTAGAAAACAACCTGAATTATTTGAAGCAAATATCATGTTGATATAAAATGCAATAAATATTTTATTGAAACTTGATTTCATTATAGAATAATAGAATATAAATAAATAATATAATTTTGTTTTAATTTGAATTGTTTCGATGCTTTTTCAAAGATGCATTTTGTCATAAATAATAAAGTTTTTTTTCAAGTACATATTTTTAACGGATCTGAATTGTATGTAAATAAGCAATATATACCTTACTTTTTAATTATTTTCTGAATATATATCGAAAAAATACAACAAACTTTCAAATGAGATTCAAAAGAAATTATTGAAATATGCGATGTTTTTTTTTATTTTTTCATCAAAAACAAAAAAATTGTTCAATATTATTTGAATTTCTTTTCGATAAGCTTTTTGTTGAAAATTTCTATTATTCAAATGCAATTTAAATTCTTTTTATCTTCTCACAACTAAAGCATTGTTCTCAACATTTATTCGACAGGTATTGTCAAATCGATACTAGACTAATGTATATTGGCAAGTGATAAAGATAATCAGTTAAATAAATCATCATCTACATTCACCAGTCATAGATTCGAAGAAGCGTATGAGAGTGGACATCCTCTATCTCCCGAAGTCCTCATCAGCTTTTTCGAACAAAAATCTAGTTTAAATAGACTTTAGAAAACGATTTTACAGTATGATTCTTCTTCTTGTCTGCTGAAATATGCACATCCACTTGATATCTTGGATTTCTAGGTAATATTCATAAATTATAAAAAAGAAACTATATGCATAGGAACAACATTCTATTTAGTGAGTTTATCTATAAAACGTAAACATTGTTTTCATTGAGACATTCTATTTTGTTTGTTGATGAGTTACGATATGTCTTGAATGCAATAGAAAATGTTCGACTAAATACTGAGATCAATAGTATAGAACTGACGTTAAATAGAATTCGTTAATTTTAGAAATCATGTCTGACATAAGTCTTTTTTTATATTATCTTAACTAAAGTCTTCTTAACGGTTAGAATAAAATCAGCTTAAAATAAAGTTTTTCTGTCTAGAAATAGATCGATCTCATCTATTTCATTTAATTTTTTGTGAAAGCTTTAATTAGTCACTAGATTTTCCACCTAAACAATAGAACTATACAGCTTGATTACGCTATTTTTGATACTTTTGTGTCGTTTGTTGTTTATATACCAAACATTTCAGATTTTTTTATTTTGATATAGTCGGATAGAGCATATATATAAGTTTGTCAAATTATATAGTTTTTATTTTATATCTTATTCAAAAATTTGATAAAGTCCGAGAAACACTGAAATGGAACTTTTGCACACTCATAATTCAGCAACAGTTACCTGAATAATAATGAAAATCGCTTTGGACGGAAGAGGTCCATCAGACTTTCTTGTAGAAAAAAATTAAGCAAAAAAAAGACTTGAAATATAGAAGAAAAGTGACCTGGATTGTTAAATTTTGGTCCATTCTTCGCACCAATGAAAAATTAAGTTTGCATTATTCTTCGTAAAAATTCACTTGGAAGACTCACCGTAAATCTGATCAAAACTATGTAAATCGATAGAGAAATTAACGCTCTATTTAGATATATATCAAAGAAAAGAAGACTAGACATTTAAAGAATCGAAATTTCTCTTAAAAAAAACCTTCACAAAAACGTTTCTGAGAAATTCATGAAGTTTATAGTAGAAATATGGAATAAGCCCACGAAAAAGATATACATTTCGATACAACAATGAATAAGCTATTATTCTATATGAAAATAAAAAGCTTCAGTAATCTAATAAATAGTAGTGGATCTGAACAATTTTCTCAGAAATTATCTTAAATTTACCAGGTAAAAAAAAATCTTTTTGACTGCTTTTCAAGATTTATCAACTTTTTGGACTAGAACTAAAGGAAATAAAATGTAAACGATAATTTTCGAAAGAGTAATTGATGCTCTATCCAACTGTATCAAAATTTTTAAAAAAATCTGCGATATTTTGTATAAATACAGCAAACTACACAAAACTATCAAAAATAACGTAATCAAGCTGTATACTAAGGTAGTAGAGGCAAAATCAATATTCACTTTAATCAATTATGATATGAGCACATGCATGCTAATTTCCAACGATATAAACTTTGATACAGTAGGGATTCATTTCTAAAACAAGCAGGAAGTTGAAATCGATTATATAGTGTAGTATATAAGAAAAACCTAGAGGGTACTTTTGCATATATATAGTCTTTTCCGACTTTTTAATGCATCTTAGCATTTGGAACTTAAGATTGAAATGTCTGGAAAAAAAGTATTTCTGCGAATATTTTGTTTAATGATGCGTGATAGATTGATTAGAGATTCAATTTGATGAAAAATACCCTTGTCAACAGGCGTTTAGTAGTTATGGTATACAATCAAGGAAGGTCTAAGCCCCACTAGGACCCTGATATTCTGAATCAGCGCAAAAATGCTGTTTACAGTGATGTAAGTTTCCATGAAAAAGCAATTGATTACTTAGGAAACCTTTCTCGTGAGCAAAGGCTTCAAAATTTTACTATTAGATAGTGTTCACGTCGTTTATAAAATAGCCCTAGCTGTCTCAAATCGTGGTAGAACTAGGAAAGTGAGTGATCAATTAGATTGAGAGTTAGAAGAATGAGGAAGCTTTTTAACTTGTCACCTTGTCTTCAAAAGTGCCGTTGTAACTTGTGGAAAATAAGATGTATTGGACGGTGAAAAGAATTAAACAAGGAGCATTTGGAGTATTCTCTGCTGAAAATCAATTATGCAATTGGTGCATGAGTTTCATATCTTGATTATTTTGAAAGAAAAGCTTTGTTAGCTAATTTTCTTTAGTAAAACGTTTTCATATAGACAATAATTTTCCTAAAGTTCTTCCTAGCTCGAAAGGATGTGGGTGTGGGTAGAGCAAGATTCACACTCACAACCATATATGCACTCCCATGCTTATACTCACAGTCAAGCGCACATCCTATGGTATGTAAACACCTGCAATCCAAAGGATCATAGGAAATTACAGGTTTCACATTCGAATCTCGACAAAACCACTAATCCTCGGTATGTATGATTAAAATAAGTTAACAGGTAATACTAGATTGTAATAGATTAAAGAGTCATAATAGATAAAAACAGATTAGGCCCTATTCATGTAAAAAGTAAAATATCGGGTAAAAAATTTATTTGAATTGATTTCGATAAAAATAATCAATTAAAATCAATTACTTCGCAAAGTCAATTAAAATTGATTTCTTTTTTGATTTTAAATCTGATTAACCTTGGATCATCATAGTGCAATTATAATTGATGTTTAATGGCAAACAGTCTATTACAATCAGATTTCTTCGACGATTTTTGGGTGCGGGTGTGGATGTGGATGTGAATGTGAGATGTGTGGGTGTGGGTGTGTGTTTTCTTCAGCTACACCCACACCCGAATGTCAATCTGGTACGGCCTAATGTACATATAGGTGTCATTCGGGCTAAATTTACAAATGCCATCGTTTTTGGTACAACTGGTTATAATGATCCCATTACAAGTGCTTTACAAATTATCGTCGGTAAATCTGTTTTCATGGATATAGGCAGAGTAGGAATACTCATTTTGAATAAGTACCTATCTAATCAATCATGATGTTTCTTAGATACGCAATGAACGGGACTTTGTACGGTTAATGGCGACAATGTTTTCATACGGCTTTTTCGGTAATATTATTCAACAATCCAATAATTGGCGATTTTTTGGTCTGTTACGCTGTGATTTGGCGGGTTGTTTTTCAATTTCTTGGCAACAATTCATACCACATGAAATTGATCATCACCCAACCGCTTGAGAAATGTAGTTTAAAAATTATTGATCAATAATATTGATTAATATTTGTTTAGTAATTCCATAAAACGACAAGATCGACTCTTCGCAAACAAGATGATCAAAAATCTCCAGACGAGCAAACAATCAACAATGTCCCGTCGCCTTTATCACTGCAGATCAAATGTGCAGGCCAATATAGAACAATCAATTTTCACAATATGCTTCATCGTTGCGAAAAAAGCAAATCCGGAATGTCTTCATTTGTTCACATAGATATGATTGCTTGAAAAAGAATTAATTTTCTCATGTATCAATTTGCGTGATGAATGAGATCTTTTCCTTTTTCGAGAATTTGTTATTTTCATTTATAGTTTACTTTTCAGATTTAGTGAGAATTAGGATGTCGAAGAAACAGTTTTTCTTCATATTTTAGGTGATGAATCATTCGATGTTGTTCTAGTAAAAAGTTCATGGAGTTTGGACTCTTTTTGATTTCTTCATCATGTAGCCTAGGATAGTCGAACAATTGATGACTTGTCAAATGTTGAATGTTATCGTGCTACTGAAGTTATTAGTTGTCCAATTATTAATCGGCGAAATAAATTAGGTAATTGGGTATGTCATAGAAAATTGATTACTGACAAGGAAGTCAAAATTCGTGCTCATTCTCAAGTTCTTAATCTATATAAATATATTGCGTCTGATACCATGTAAGAATCTTTCCTGTAGAAAAAATCATTTTTTCTTTTTTCCATTTCTTTTTTCATGTAGGAGTCCGCATTATTAGTATGAATTTTCATTTTTCCGTTGAAAAGAAATATATCTCTTTACGAAGCGACGCATTTTTGACTTTTATCTCTAATTCCACTTGGAATTAATATTTTTGACACCGATCGATTCGTTGGCCAACCCTGAAAACAACAACTTATAGTTGCTAAGCAGAAAAATGATAAATCAATTTTTTTTATTGTCTGGATTTGGTCATTGTTATATGTTGAGCAAAACGTTCGCGGTCACTTGCAAAAAAATTCTTTTTTATGCATAAGTTTATTCAAAGTCAATAACAATTATTCTTCAAAGTACAACCCATCATTCTCAATGACCTTACGCCAGCGTTCTGCAAGTTGTCGGATCTGATCTCGATACCAGTGCGGCTCCTTGGACTCAAAGAATTCACGGCACGCTGCTTCGACTTGATCAAAAGTTTCAAATTGTTGTCCTCACAAAAAGTGCACCATTGAACGAAACAAGCCATAATCAGAAGGAGCAAGGTCGGGACTGTAAGCCGGATGGGGTAGAAGCTCTACACCATCGAGTTCATCAAGCTTCTCCTTGGTCAAATTGGCACGATGAGCTGAAGCATTATCGTGTTGGAGAAGGGCACGTTTTCGGCGGATCAATGTTGGGTAGCGCTGCGTCAAGACGTTGTAGACGCGCTCCAATTGCTCGCTGTACAGCTCGGCATTCGCGGCTTGACCATCAGGAACCAATTCAAAGTGCACAACGCCATCGACATTCCACCAGACGCACAACATGACTTTGTTGCCGAAATGATCTTGACGAGCAACCGATGACGGATTTTGATCTCGTGGAACCCAGCGTCTAGAACGATCACGATTGACCAAGAAAACCCACTTTTCGTCGCATGTCACAATGCGCTTCCAGAACCGATCGTCCAACGGATTGTCGAGCAGTTGACGGCAGACTTCAACACGTCGTATAGTTTGTGCTTCAGTGAGTTCGTGAGGATCTTGTCGTGACTTCTTGTGGACAAAATTAAACTTGTGCAGGTAATAGACAACGGTTCGCTGCGCGACTCCAAGTTCATCGGCTAAATCGTGAGTATTCGATGACGGCTCGTCTTCCAAAGCGACACGCAAGTCCTCTTCGTCCAGAACAGATGGTCGGCCAGAACGAGGCTTCCCTTCGAAGTCAAAATCACCATCCTCGAATCGCTTGAACCATTTTATCGCGGCAGTTTTCCCGATCGTTCTTTCGCCTTCCACTTCGCAGATTTCGGCAGCAGCAGCTCTTACAGACAAGCCTTTCTTCCAATAGTGGCGGAGCAAAACACGAATTTCAAAATTATTCACCTAAATTCAAATGATGGAAATGAAATTACAAAATTTACACAAGAATAGCTAGCACACTGTGAACAATATTCTTTATTCGAAGAGAAAAGAATCAAAAAGCACACACACACCACACACGAAACTCAATGTATATATGAAAGAATCAGAGAGAATATAATCACGTACATATGACTCAAGGATTTCAATAACTCAGGAATCTTATCCATATACAAGTGACTCAAAGACTACGAAGGAGGAAGAATGAGAGAGATGACTCAACATGGCTAAAGCCCATAACACACACGCGAGATATACAAGTTTTTAAAATGAAACACAAAAAACTTTAAAAGTAAACTTAAAAAATTAAAATTTTTGCAAGTGATCGCGAACTTTTGCTCAACATAGTATATATTAATACGTATGTCAACGGGAAATTGTAGTAACAGCTAAGAACCTTTATCTTCTGATAAATGTACTTAAAATACAATATTTGAAACATTTTTAACACGTGTAAAATAGGACATCTTATTGAAAAATTTTATAATTGAACATAAAGATTAAAAACAAATCCAAAATGCTTTTGAATATATAGATAAATGTATAATGAATTTTACAATAGAGAAACGATAGCGAAGTTTAGTAGAAACACAAAAAATACATAAGCATTCGACGATCATAATTTCCCTGCTAATAGCAGAACAGATAGTAAATATCAAGAGTACGTGATAATTGAAGAAAATAAGAGAAGTGCATTCATTGTACTTTATCTATACTCAATGAACAACGTTTGTTTTTATGATTTTGAGAAACAAAAACAGTGTTAATCATACGCTGCAGTGGTATTTATACGTCATTTTAGCACGTAAACATTTGTTGTTTGAACAAGCAAAAAAAGAAAAAAAATAAATCAACGTTTGTTTCTCGAACAAGAAAAAAATCAACATTTGTTGTTCTACTAAGGCAAAAATTCAACCGAAGAAAAAAAAGGAAGGTTATATATCTTCAATTTTTTTAAAATATTCATCATTAAGTATCTTGATCTTCATTAATAGTTGATTATGTGTGATATTTCCTTTGCTGTATGTTTTAATGGCATCATGTGTTTTATTGATCAAATCGTCAAAAACTTCGTAGTGTTCAAGTGACTTCTTCGTTCGATCAGCCTAAATAAATGTTTATATTTTATAATTAATTTACTTATTATTCGGACAAAGCTTGATTCTAGCATTTTATTACAAACAAACAGATTTCGTTTGAACAACTAGCATTCTAACTGGCATTTTTTAGTGTATAAATAATTAATTCAGTTTTGACGAAGTTAATAGATACTCGTCTTTCATCAATAATGAATTATATAGTAAAAAGAATGCTTACAATAGATTGTGAGTCTGGAATTTCTTGAGCCATTTTTTTCTCCAGTACTAACAATTGATTAAAGAAAAGAGATAAAAAGAAATATTAATTCTAGCGACAAACTACAAATAAAAAGTGTATATTAGTCAATACAAAATAACATGCACGTTATATATTTATATACATGTATATATGTTAACAAAAGCTGAGTTATTGTTCATACAATAACCAATAAATTTTTACTTTTTTATTTCCTCTTTTTTCCTTCCCTAGGGAATATACTGAGTTAAGGGTACCCAAAAAAGTACCCTGATACCAGTATGTCACAGGAACTTTTGGGTACCAAAGTACTTGCAGGTACTTACAGGTACCTAAGTGGTACTTTGGCAAGTACCCTGCTGGAAAATGCACAGTAATTTGGTACCTAAAGGTACTGATCAAGTACTGAATTGGGTACCATTGTATAGTATTTCTAAGTACCCTGTTACCAAATTTTCAGTATGTTCAGGATCGAACCTGATCTTTGACTTTTTAAAATTTTTTCTTTTTCTTGAGATAATTTACTAGATTTTTTTTACTTTATTGAATTTAATTTTTTCAATTCCAAAAACTTAGCAGGAACAATGTCGGGATCCGACTCAACTTGAGTTGGTCGTAGACCACTTCAGGGTAGTCCGATCTTAATTTACGACCAAACTCGGCATTTCCTCGACTAAGAAATAGTCAAGAAATAATTTAGAAAAAACTAGTATGAAAATTGATTATTTTCTTATGATTTATCGAGTTGTTTATATAGAGCCATACGTAAAAAAGAAAACGGTGAATGAATAGTCACCACACAGAACGCGAAAAATTTAGGATACCCTGTCGAGATTTCCTCAGTAAAGTTACAGACTTGTGTATCCATGCAGGTACTTATTCAGTGAATGTACTTTTACGGGTACCCCAAACAGTACATACATCAGTAAAATTACTGAGAATTTTCAAAGTACCCATATTGGGTACCCTGCTAGAGCTTTCTCAGTACATGGGTACCCTGAACTCAGTACTTTCTCTAGGGTTCTCATCTCTTTCTGTTCACAAATGAGCAATGAATGATTTTCATGTTCATCCATCATTTACCCTGTATTAGTTCATTGACATAATGACGATGATTCTAAGGGTCTGATTTGTATGATATTTCTCATACAATCAATGAATTGGTCCAACTGTATCATGGAAGTTCATGAATATGAATAGCGTCTTTTTCTCTTATCATGCATTACATAAAAAGGCATGATCTCAAGGAAAAAAGTTTGCTAAATAAATTCAAATTGATAAATATTAAAAATCATTAACTTCATAAAAGTAATTATGAATAAATGAATCAACATTAATGGCATTATTCAGTTGATTTCTTTTAAGAAATCATATCAGTATTGATGTAAATGATTCATTACAGGGAAAGGTTGTATGGATGAACACTAAAGAAATATATATATAAAATATTGAAAAATGACCCTTTCTGTGGATTTACTGCTTTGATTCTATTACTGCGAAAGTAAAACCTAGATACTAAGTGTGCTTCGATTGAGTGCGATTGATATAAATTATTTCGAGCATTTCTCGAATTACCATTTTTTTTTGAAACTATGAGGAAATAAATGTTGAAAAACTAATATGATAAAACTAAAAATATTGACAAAGATTAGTATACATACCGATGATTCAAGTGTTACAATGCTTCTTCTTTTGATTGTTGTTGATGATGATGATAATGATTTTGTTTCTTTTTTAGCAGCTTCTTCAAAAAAACCAATATAATCTTGTGTTGTTGCAATTTCTTGATGTGATGCTATTATTTCCTAAGATGAAACAAGAATAACATTTTATTAGAGTAAAATTAATATTACGATTTCAGTCATTAGAGAATCTCTTACTTGTTTTGTATCATAATTCTCTGTTATGCTTGTATATATTGGTGGATGAAACTCATATAAATGTGCAAATATTTCAACTATGTTTAATCTGTTCAATGAATCAGGAAATTTTGCATTACATAGTAATTGATCACTTGCAGGACAACGAATTTCTTTTTTATCATTTTCTTCTATTACTAAATAAAATTCCTAGTTATTATATAAAAGTATATAGAGTTATACATAATGAATTGCGTGGACAAGGAATTTCTTCTTTTCGGTCAAATTTTAATGTAAGCCATTTATTTGCAATTTGTGAAGATTTATGACCCGTACCACTACCTGAACCATGATCAGTCACATCGGATATATATGAAGATTTAGACGATGTTGAGCTGCTGCAGATTCAAATCGAATTTTGTATTAAATATTTTACTCAAGCATATATTTAAAGAGTGGAATACCTATCTAGCCATCTTGATATACAAATACCAAAAAAAAAGAAGAGGCAAAAATTCCCAATATTGTTATAGAGATGCACAAGTGAAATCTGACTTTATTTAAATTTATTTTGTGCTAATTTCTCGATAGCGGACGAACAGAACGCAAGAAAGAAGTTTCTGTGTTTTTTCGTTCTGTTCGTCTCTGTCGAAAATTGACTGGAAATTAAATTAAATCGAACTTTACTATCTCATCTCTTTTACTTTAGTCTTTTTTAAAGATAAGCCACTCTATATCTATAGAAAAGAATTACTAAAAAATTATAACTGTGATATACAATTAAAAATTTTTCTAGTGCCTGATACGTTAATTAGCCTACATAATCGTAAAAAGATGCTATTTTGTTTTAATGTAAAGTAAATACAATATAATTAACCAACACACGTGTAATCGCGAACTTACATTCGTTATTCATATCAATCACAACAAATGTAACAAATTGATTAGATTCTATTAGCGTCTAAGTTTTATCAGTTCTAATTCTGTCATCCTATATGTATGCATTTTTCTTTTAATTGGATCATTCGAAGTAACATTAATGCTTCTTCAAATGAAAAAGATTTCATAAAGAAGATATTTTTTTTTATTAAAAATGAAAAGTAAGTATTTTAGTTCTTGTAATAATAATATATATCGACTGGATTCTTATTCTAGTTCTCTATTTTATTCAGCTGCATAAATATTCGTATTTGTTCCACCTGAGTCAAGAAAGTTTGATATTTTCCACATTACTATAATAGATTTTTTCTCCAAGTTTGACTTGAAACTAAATTACTGAGAACAACTAAGAGCTTTGTATAATCCAATATTGTAGTATATTTCAATGTGTATTCTCTCTGATTAAAGAAATTTGTGCATTTAATTTTTTTCCGATTGTCTCTGTAGATCTAAGTCGATTACTAATTCGTTAGAACGATGAAATCAAACATGATCGTTATGAATATGTTGTGTCTCGCACAGACAAATCAAGATTATAGTTTCAATCAGAGCTGAGCAAAATACTCGAAGTACTCGTACTCGAGTATAATTTTGTTGGTATTCATACTCGTACTGGGGTGTGAGTGTGGGTGTGGGTGTGGATGTGCGTGTGGGTGTGGATGTGCGTGTGGGTGTGGGTGTGAGTGTTGGTCGGTGTGGGTGTGGGTGTGAGTGTGGGTCGGTGTGGGTGTGGGTCGGTGTGGGTGTGGGTCGGTGTGGGTGTGGGTATTGGTCGGTGTGTATGCGTATGTGGATAGCTCTTTTAGAAGACGTGCACCCACACCCATAGCCAGAGCCAGAGCCAGAGCCACAGCCGCACCCACACCCACAACCACGCTCACACCCACAACCACACCCACAACCATACCCACACTCACACTCACACCCACAACCATACGCATACCCACAACCACACCCACAGCGACACCCACAACCACATCCACACCCTGTTATGGAAGTAGAATGAATTTTATGCGTCATTGTTTGCTCACACTGTCTCATTCACCATTAATAATTGACTACAGCATTCTTGGTAATTTCCAACTGTTACATGATTTTATTGATTTGTTCCATTCCTCTTTTTCTCCTTCACATTTAACATAAATTCTTTACTTTTTCTTTTTCATTCCTGTTTTCGTGGTCGGTGTACACGCATTTTGAAACGACTCGTTCTCTTTTTTTATTTTTGAAATTTAATACAAAGCACAAGTTCCTCACAGAAATAGAAGGCTTTCCGGGATCAAACGGCTCCTCCTAAATAGAAGACCTCCAAACGCTTGTGAATGATAGGATGTAGATATGCGATTGTGGGTGTGTATCTTGTCCTCATTTTCGCCCACACTCGCATATACTCACACATCCACATCCGTATGCGGTTTTTCTGAGTATTGTCGCCTAGTATATATGGTCAAAAATATAAGATCTAACTATCGATCTACAAAAGAAAGAAATGAAAGAAATTCAATACTCGCTTATGTTTGGACCGCTCTGTAGAATAGTTCTCCATTTTGAAATCTTCTGATTTCAAACTACACTTTATTTTGAAAGTAGTTTTACCAGGAAAGAAGAAATTTATGGGTGAATGGATGCCAAACTACGCGATTGAAACGAGAAACAAAAACAATGATGCCGAAAGCAGATGCACAGAGCGAAAAAGAAAGAAAAAACTGATTTTTTTTGCCACTTCTTTTTGCACATTGAGAAAGCAAGAAAAAGTTCAGGTATAAATACAGCAATGAAGTCAAACATTTCTCGATGGCTTCATCACAATCATCAACAATATCGAGTGGTCGTTTAAGTCAACTAAATGAGACTGCAAATCCACATTATGCATGTTATTGGTTAGATTCCTGTGGTGGTCATCATGAATTGAACCAATGTTCTCGTTGGCGCGCCGAATTACGTGGTAAATTGGGTATTTATTATTCACAAAATGGTAAGTATACAACGTTTGATTATGATCACAGAAGTGGTGTCAATCTGAAACATAATCGAACCGGATGTACAACAATGCATCTATTGATTTATACTATCAGATCAAATGATGAAACAGAGATATTATTTGGATTGAGCAATCGTAGAAACAAGCATAGTGAAGCTAATCGACGTAGTTTACTGTCATTTCCAACTTCAAAACCACGAAAACATAATGAAGACGGTGAACAAATAGCACGACGTGCATTTAAATGGATTGCAGATCAAATAGATATTCCTGAAAACGGATTAAAACCACGTTTTCTTTTCCAAAATGCAAACGTTGTCTATCCTTTACATTTAAATAATGAACAAGCAGATATTTTCACAGAAAATTTTACTCCGAATGAAGAACTGCTGTCATTACATTGGGTTTCTTTGAGGCTTGTTCTTGAACGACTCCCCGAGTGGACAAATTATTTAACTAGTGAGGCAACAGCAAATGAATTAGCACAACAGAGGGATATCAATCCCATTGGAATTCATTTAGGTGAACATGAATTGTGGTCAGTGACAACAACATGCCTGATGTGTATTCGAGAACATGTACCTGGCGGATTCGAGACATTTTTACAAGTGTAAAATGCTATACATTGTTCTGTACTTTGAATAAAACATGAAAAATAAGCGTCCTCTACTGGGTTTTCAATTTGTAGGGCACTACTGAGACTAATCAATGAGAGACTCTATGGACTTTTCTAATTCTTTTTGAATTTCAAATAGAAACAAAAGACCACAATTTTACACGACAGGGTTGGCATCTGCGGAATAGAAAAAAGCAAGTGCACTATTTGCAACAGCTACGATCATCAACTCTTTATATATCAACGTCATTAGTTTAATCAGGTGTCCATATCACATTAGTACGTATACCTGTTCAAGAGCATGCTATCTTGAGGGGATGGGGGTGGGGGTGTAGGATGTGGGGTGGAGTTATGGTGGAGGTGGAGGTGCTCTGAAAGAAAAAAAGGAGTTTTGAAGAGCTATTCTTGGTTGGGTGTGGGTGTGGGTGGGGTATGGACTGTGGATGTAGGTGTTGGTGTGGGTGTGGGTGTGGGTGGAGTGTGGGCTATGGGTGTAGGTGTGGGTGTGGGTGTGGGTGTGGATCGGTGTGGGTGTGGATCGGTGTGGGTGTGGATGTGGATATCTCTTTTAAAAGACGTGCAGCCACACCCACAAGCACACCCACACCCACACTCACACCCACGCCCACACTCACACCCACACTCACACCCACACCCACACCCACACCCACACCCACAACCACACCCACACCCACACTCACACCCACACCCACACCCACACCCACA